TCTTCTTTTATTGGTGCTGGTGATCCTGAAGATCCTTTACGTTTACAACTAGGTCTATCTTCTATGTTCTATACAGATAATATTTCATTATAAAAAAAAATTCTTATTTGTTTCATATATACGAGTATATATGTATATATATATATATCTTTTCTTTGTATTGACATTCTTTTTTTCTATTGGTACCTTTATTGTATATACATTATCTTTGACTTCTAATTCACCAGTAACCGATGCTAGACTTAATCCAGGTCTAATCTCATTTAAAATAATATTTCCAGCTAAGTCGGGCTCAATAAATACGCGTCCCTTTTTACGTTTCAGAGGTAATTTTATAACTTCGCCTCGTTTGAAAGTAATCAATGGTTTTTCCTTGGAAAAGAAAAAAAGAAGAGAGAGAAAAAAAACATTCGAAATTATTTATTTAATGGATATAAAATTATCGAAAAAAAAAAAAAACAAAACAAAAAACTGATTAAAAAAACTTACTCCAACAGGTTCAATAACAAGATCCGTTCTATGTGGTGCAGTTATTGGCGGTTGGGTATAACATTCAGGAATAACTAAAGTTTCTGGTTTCAAATCTCTAATCAATTTATTAGCTTGAGTAAAATTAAGAGACGTATCTATTGGACAATGAACTGCTTTCATTGCCAGTGGTTGAAATGGTGCAAGTGCATCCAAATAAGGAAAATCAGGTTCTGGAATAGAAATGAAATAATTTTTATAAGGGATATAGAATTTTAAATATCAATTTCTATTTCAATTTATTATTTATCAATACCTGTGAAAATGATTGTGTGCTGTGGATTATTACCCCACAATTGAACAAAATGTACAGCATCTCCAAATCTTAAACTAGGATGTCCACAAAAAATAACACAAGGTTGCCTATAATCCGAACTAAATCCTTCCGCGTACGTAGAAGTATAATGCTTGAGTCTTGCATTTTTTACAAGAAATGCATGAGGAAAAGGTTCTTCCGGTAGATAGACTTTATTTTGTTTATTTGTTGAAAGCCTGAAACAATCGAATTAATTTAATAAATATGAAATAATTAATTCGAATAATTTACAATAGTTCGATCGTACCATTCGGCCAAAATATTTGAATACGCCAAGGAAGTTTCGGCCACGGGTGATATAAAAAAAAGAGGTACTTGTGAAAATCCAGATTTATCCAAATGAGTACTAAGACACTCAAACAAATCGTATACCACACCCGAAGGATAACATGGTATTAAAACACATCCGCCTGATCTGAGTGTCATAGCTGCAATAAATATTATATCATATATATGTGTATATAAGAAATTAAATGTATACTTTATACTTACCAACAGTCATACACAATTCACCAAGCATTGTGTCTGGATTTGCGGTTGGTGTTTGAGTTAAACCTGTTAGTATTAACATGTTAGCATGTTTCAATGTAGCTTGTTCCATAGGTCTTGGATGAGTAGTTAATGTTGATGAACCGCTTACAAATGCAACCTTTTCGTGATCGCATGATATCAACCAATTACTACTACCTAAACAATATCCAGAACTTATAGGCGTAACTGTCAATGCACCGTATATGTCCTGGAAAAAAATAACTTATTTTTATATCACGTTATTATACAATAATAGCATATGTAAAATTTCCTTTTTCCTTTTTTTTCTTTTTTTTTTTTTTTTTTTTTTTTTTTTTTATAATATTCCGATTACCAATTTTTGATCGTATCCAACTAATTGAATATTTGACAAAGCAGAATTTATAGCAGACAACGAATATATATGCCTCCATGATTTTGGCTTAAGTGCATCAGCTAAAGGAGGAGGTAATATATGTAATAATTCTTTCCAATGCTTAGCCAAAGTTGCTCTAGGTGTCTGTTCTATAAATTCTACTAATTCTTCCATAAAAAATCTTCCAATTTGTAATGTTGGTTCGGTAGCATAAATCACTCCTTTAAAACCAGTACCTTCCGTTACAAATGGTAATGCAAGCATACAAGTATAATTAGATATTAAAATGGCATCGATTTCTGAAAAATCTATTATTTTTTCAAGAGGTGGAGAAAATTCTGGTGTTGAATCAACGAATACTCTTCCACAGCATTCTTTTAATTCCTGAAATCACATATATTTTGTTCTTATGTTTTCTGGAACATAATTATATATTTCACACGTATTTATTAAACAAACCCCTTCAATTTGCCAATCTTGATGATTATCTCTTGGAAGCCAAGTTGGTAAGGAATTAAATTTTGCACTAGGAACCATAGGTAATGGCATAAAATGTAAAATAGATTGCATGCTTAATCCACAATCCAACATTAAGGTGATTCCTTTGAAACTTAGAACAAGACATGGCTTTGTTGGTTCACTTGACAAGCAATACTATATGATAAAAAATAATAAAAGAAAATATATATACATATAAATAATAAATAATCTTTCAAAGATAATAATTATTCATATATAATTTGAAAAAATATTATATATATAATATTAAAATCATAATTACCAATTTCATTATTGTAATTGATTTTGGATTTATTTTCAAGTCTTATCGTTCAAAGTGCATTCGTGTTTATACAGGTCATTGAAGCATCAAGTTCGACTTAACCTTTCCATCGCGATACATAACACGTATACATTGGAACTTTCCTTTCGTAATAATTATATTCAACTATAATATACAAACTATTGTTTATAGTATCGAAAAAATCATTTTCTCAATACGCCTTTCGATTATTTTAATATCAATAATAATTTAAACACAATGTGCGAAGTTAAAGTTCTGTTTAATGGATACTCCGAACAATTGGATGATAGAATAATGTGCGCTAATTGTTCGTGTACCTTAATAAAAGGTCCAAAATTAATTATTGTTGATACTATGACTGCTTGGGATCAGAAGAAAATTTTGGAAGGTAACTATTACAAAGGGCCGATTAATCATAGATATAAGTATATTTAAGAAGGAAAAAAAAAATCGATCAACGCATGATTTTAGCTCTTAGTCGTGAGAATGTAACACCAGCAGAAATTGATTATGTTGTATGTACACACAGTCATCCTGATCATATTGGAAATAATAATTTATTTACCAATGCAGAGCACATTGTAGGCCATTCTGTACAACATGGTGATTTGTTTTATGAGGAAAATCTTAAAAATGGTATGTTTTGAATTAACAAAAAATAACTTTAATTATATACATATACATATATATCATGCATTAATATTATTTCATTTGTAGAAGAATATATTCTTTGCGAGGGAGTTAAAGTTCTTGCAACACCAGGACATACATCAGAAGATATTACTGTATTAGTTCAAACTAATATTAATGGTCGATCTAGTTGCGTCGCTATTACAGGTTTTTGTTTTTATAATTATTATGAGTTTTGTACTATATAATTAATATTCTCATAAGATTTCATTCTGACATTTAAGATTTATTTCAGGTGATCTGTTTGAAAAGGAAGAGGATATTGTAAATCCATTAATTTGGAAAAGTCTCGGTCAAAATGATTTACAAAAAGTTCAATCTTACATGCGCTCTCGTATAATTAATCTTGCTGATTTTATAGTACCTGGACATGGTCCGATGTTTTCTGTTACAGATAAAATGAGGCAAATCGTTGATAGTCAAGTGATTAAATGATTCTGCAATTAAAAACGAAACCATTTAATTCGACGATTAAATTCAACCACGCTAATCGTTTACAATCTTATTTATTTTTACAAACATTTTATTAAACATTACATAATGAAGTACATGGTATCACAACATTATTATTTGTATATATTTTTATAATGACAATTGCATGCCAAATTATATGTATAAACAAGAAAAGAAGTACAATGCGCTAAGGGCATATTGACCATTGGCTTGTGTAATGTATATTAAAATAACTTTCTATATAGGAAATTGAAAATCATTTATAAAAAGAATACAAATTAAATATGTTTCCGACATATTCGCACTTAGAATTTAAGCTATGTGTAAATGTTCACAGCCAACATCAAAAATTAACAATTTATATATTTGCATTTATCACTTTATAAGTTTTACATATTCATTTTTGTCAATAACGAATAGAATCTTTTACTTCTGAAAAAAAAAAAAAAAAAAAAAAAAAAGAAAAAAAAAAGAAAAAAAAATATTTACACTAATATCTAAGTTATATTATCCATATATGAAAAAAACAAAGTTAATTATTATATATCATATATAAGAATTATTACTACATTTATTTCTAGTTTAATATACTTTCTTTAAAAAAAAAAAAAAAAAAAAAATAAAATAAAATAAAATAAAATAAAAAAAAATAAATAACAAATAAAATAAAAAAAAAAATAAATAAAATAAAATAGAAAATAAAAAAAAAATAAAAAAACAAACACACAAAAAAAGAAAAAACAAAAAACAAAAAACAAAAAAAATATTCACCGTGGTTGAAGTATTATTAAGAATGTTCACAACTCTAATGTATTAGCTTAAATATGCAGATCAAAAATTGATACATTTTACAAATGATATTCCTACACTTTTAACTAATGCTTTTTTTTTTCTAACATTGTTTCAAGTCGGAGAACGAATTTATCTATCATAATCTTATATGTATAAAATGTATCATATATAATAAACAAATTATAATGTAAAAGGTATTTACTGTGTATCTTGTTATATAGAATGCCCTGCACTCGACATAGAAAAATGATCACCTTTTTAACAGCAAAATCAATTTGCTGAATGGTAATTTTGTAAAAAACTTAGATTTAATTTCACATCTAGACACATTTTAATGTTTTTATATTAAACAGATAAGATTATAGAATATTATTACATATATGCAAAAGATTTTTATATAATAATAAAAGTATACCAGGACCTCCACTGAATAATTAAAATGAATTGATACACAAATGGTGTATTAGGAATAACGTTTATGCCAGTTTCTTTTTTTTATTACAGTTTTATTCTAATATATATATATATATATATTTTTTTTTTTATTATATATCATTTTAGGAAATAGTTTTAATATAAGTTTAAAATTTCTCCAACAAAAATTTGACTGGACATAAGCAGTGTTTTTGGCAATCATTAGAACTTTCCTATCGTTTAAGCATTATGGATTCATTAAAATAACATATTTGTCCGTCGCATATTCAATAATACATATTAGCAAGAGATTAAAGTAATTTTCAATATTATGTAATTTTTATAAATGTCTGCCGATCAAACCTGGCAGGGCGACGCGTGTGTGCAGTGGTAGTGGTCCCGGACTAACTTCTCCTGTCACTGTTCCCAGCTGTTCCGCAAAGTATTAAATACATCAAGAATTTACTTGAAATTCTTATTAATTATTTAATATTATACATTGGCCACATACATCAGCATAATCATTTTCACATTCCACAGAGCGAACGTGAAGTGTAAAGGATTGTATTTACAAAAAAAGTATAATAATTGTTCTATCAACGTTTGTTTAAAGAAATTTAATAACAAATTTTCATTATCAATGTTAAGATAATGTCTAGTTGTTTTCATTTTTATAATTAACGTCAATCAATTTATTGTGCAATTAAGCCTAAATGAGCAATAAGATATTATACTTACTAACATATTAAAATTATTATACTATGGAAAATAAAATAATTCATTTTTATTATATTTCACATAATTGCACTTACGAACATAGAGGACTAAATCAAATATATAATATGTACAAACCAGACATTACCTAATGCTTAATAATATAGGTGTATTTAATCGCATAAATAAATATTATCAAGGACAGAAGATTTAAAAAACATATTCATTAATGTGTATTGTGTGTTGGACGCCATATGTTTGTCTGTGAAGAAATCAAAATAAAAAATATACTGCTTAAATTAAAATATATGGAAAGAAAAAAAAAACAAGTTAGATCTTTAGTTCATTACTATTTCTTACAATCACAATATTGATGTGTATCACAGAAGAATCAAACATAAATAGTTTATATACTTAAAAAATACATGTCAACATGTATATAAACAATAATAATAAAACGAGAGATTATCGACGAATTATATTAATTATAAATTCATAATTAACATAATTATCATTGTTATTATATTAATAACTGCGCAAAATAATAATCTTTTTATATTATCAAAGTTTTTTTTTTACTAGATACTGTCTAAACGTTAAAAAAAAAAAATAATAAAATTTGGATAAAAATTAAAAATATAAATATCGTGTACAATTAAAGTCGATAATACAAAAATTATGATAAAACCTCATGGGCAACTTTTACTTAAATTTTAGGAAGAAGCTTGTTATTTATGCAACTTAAAGAAGCATATCATAAGAGAGAGAGAGAGAGAGAGAGAGAGAGAGAGAGAGAGAGAAAGAGAGAGAAAATGTTAATACAAAGAAATAGCATAGTAAATCTTTACTAACTATTAAAAGTAATTATTTGCATGAAAAGTATTGTTATTGCTCTCGTACAACATATCATTACATGAAATTTGTAAAAGCATCTTTCTTTCGAGGATTCTCTATGCAACAGAAATCTGTTTGAATGATTGATACTGACACAGAATCAAATAGCAAAAAATGCAAATGTGTATAAATTAATACTATTTATATGACATTCCTTGCATGATATTCAAGCCTGAGATGAAAAAGATATTATTTTTATCAGGCGGCATGCGAAAATATTAATAAACTAGATTATTAATAAATTAGATTAGAACAAGGAAAAAGAAAAAAAGAACGAAAGAAAAAAAAGATAATAAAAAAGAAAAAAAAAAAAAAGAAAAAAAAAAAAAAAAAAGAAAAAAAAAAAAAAAAAAAAAAAAAAAAAAAAAAAAAAAAAAAAAAGAAAAAAGATTAAATTCAGTCAAAATCTCTAAAACAAATGATAATAATATAAAAAAAAAAAACAAACAAAAAAAAGAAAAGAAATAATATAAAGTAAAGCAGGAACTGTGTACTAGAGTTTCTTGGAACAATTTTTCATTCTTTTTTTCTTTTTACTTTTTTTAATTATTCAAACAGAGTGATATTTTTAAATGCTACTTCTGAACAACATTAAAATTGTTTATAAGAAATGTTAATTTAATCGATAAACTCTCGTACACACAAGACTTACTGCATTTTAGGAAATATTTTACTAACAATAAATATTTGGAAAATTATGTTTAATGTTCAGTGTAATTATATATGACTTCTATGTAACTCAAATTTAAAAAGAATACTTGAATACAGAGAATATAAAAGAAGAAGAATGTGTGTATATACACCAGAACATTTAGACGTTCAGTACTACCTATCGTATTAATACTTTCTCAAAAATCACAAGGTATACTTATATATGCTTACTGATACAGACAAAGATCTTAATGACTAAATTATTTACTGCTCTTTTTCTTTTTTATATAACTTATATCAATGTTATGCTTGTACTATTATTCAGGAAGCTGACAAAGACATAAGTCTAACAGTTATATGTTAAATAACAAATAACTTGATAATCATGTATATTTCAACATTTACATCATTGAAAATGTTTTCGCCTCTGAGAAAGAGAGAAATCTTATCGAATCATTTTTTTATCCATTCTATCAATATTATTTTCATTATTCTTTACAAAAAAATGAAGAAAATAAAATGAAAAATAAACGAAAAAAAAAAGGAAAAATGAATGAAAAAAAAAAGATCAAATGAAAAAATGGAGGAAAAGAAAAAATGAGAATTCTTTATACTAGTTGAAAGAAAATGTTAAATTACTTTTTCTGAATTGCACATTGCAAATCACTTAAAATTTAACTGATCAAAAAATTATTATTTGATTGGCTTCTTTGCTGTTATAATGTTCGTAACGGAATAAATCCTTCCATTCCGATGATTCTTAAGTCTTCATCATCATCATCATCCTCATCATCATCATCATCATCATCATCATCATCATCATCATCATCATCATCATCATGATTTCTTTTTCTCTAAAAAACCGTTAATATCGCAATCAAATGTGAACTATAATAAGTCGCTTGTAAATGCTGACAAACCACTGGACAGAAGCATAAATAAATTGAAAGCATTTATAAAGCAATTTCGGCGAAATGCTCTAGTTACATCAAGACAAAAGATATATTTTTCTTTCTTCCCCTCCCACCCCATCGAGAGACATTAAACATAATTTTCTAGATGCAGAAATAAAATATATACATGTATAAGATAAAATATTTATCTTTGATAGCAATAATTTTAAATATTTATAAAAACAAACAAATAAATATTGCAATATATAGGCAAATAAATATTGATCCGTTAACATTTTAATACAAGCCATGTGTTAATTTATAATGCAAGCTACCAATAAAAAGGACTTTACATTTATCAGAAAACATATCATATCAGAAAACATACAGATATTATATGTGTTTCTTAATTACAATGGCTTTTCAATAAATGTATTGTTATATCATGTATATGTATTTTATAACCATATATATGTATATATGTATAAATATATATGTATATGTATATATATATGGCTATATTTCGTTAGTATTGCTATGATAAATATACAGTGAAATGTGATAAACCAAATAGTGATACACACATTTCTTCATGGTAATACGTAGTTTTTCTTTTTTGTATGATTATTAAAACATTACCATTAATCGAAATGTTATTTTAGTATTAAAAAATTTAGCATCGATTAGTACATGCCTACGTTTTTTTTATTTTTTTTTTTTTTATTTTTTTTTTCTTTTTTTTTTTTTCTTTTTTTTTATGCACAGAATATTTTCATAAAAAATATCTTTTAGTGCAAAATAGTACCTTATACAAGGTAGAGATCAAAATTTTATTCGTTTAAAATACTTTTATCATTTTTGAGATATTGATTCGTATAGTTATATTCATATAACTATAGAATTTATATTTTTATTTTAATATCATCATAAAAGATGGAAATATTTTAAACGAACTTAATTTTTTGCCTCATTTTCTATATATTTTAATAAACTTGATTATGTATATCACCATTTCTTGCCCAAATAGAAAAGTTAGTCCCGCATGCATATAGATTTATCAACACATTTTATATGAAAGAGTCGTGGATACGTTAATTAATAAATTATCTATGTAGAATATAATATTATTTATCTACAGAAAACGAAAAAAAAAGAGGAAAAACGAAGCAATTATTATTATTACTTTTTTTTTTTTTGATTCTCTGATACTTCCATATAAAATTAAGAACTTGTGTTGTACATGTTAATTAAATATTCATGTATAAAAGTCTTATGGGATAACAATGAGGTTTAGTAGAGTAGTAAGTACATATGAATGTGGCTTCAGAAACGCAAACCCATTGAAACTGATACATAAAATATATACGCGAAATACATATTTTTACAGAGGCTAGATAGAGATATTAGAAATAAGATTTCTTGTGTTATTTCTATCTTCTATGTAAGTTAAGAATTACGTATGGTTCATCAAAGTTAGTGACATCAGTGCTGTTAGGTTGATAGCACGGGTTAACTGTGTAATTGAGATTAGGTTGATGGAAACTCACCGGCTGTACGTTTGTCCTTCTTCTTTCCATTTCACGATCTTCCAGACAAAAGTCAGAATCTGAATCAATTTTTCTTGAAACATCATCCTAATGCAACAGAAAGTGACAGAGAGAGAGAGAGAGAGAGAGAGAGAGAAGAGAGAGAGAGAGAGAGAGAGAGAGAGAGAGAGAGAGAGAGAGAGAGAGAGAGAGAGAGAGAGAGAGAGAGAGAGAAAGAAAGAAAGAGAGAAAGAAAAAAAGAGAGTAATATTATTTAAATAATTATATACGTAAATCTTTAACATATATTTTATACCTGTGTCATTTGTTGTGTCGTTGTAAGAATCCTTGCTAACGGACCACAACACACTGGTAATGTTTCTAACAAGGTAGGCCTGGAGTGCGTTAATAGTGGTTTCATATATCGTGTGTCAAAATCACCCCATATTCTAGCGAGCAATGCTTTCTCATTAGGTTTTGCACCGGTTGGCACTGATCCATCCTGCATAGAATTATACTGTGAAATTTGAATAACATTTTTGTTATCCACCCTGTATGATTATATAATAAATTTCTTCTAAGTTATAAAAATAATTAATACTTATTATTTCATACATTAAATTGTAATTAAAATTAATGCAATATTTATAAAGTATTACGTTGTAAAATATTTTCGCTATATGATCATACAATTCAAATCGTTTCTTTAAAAATTCTATATAATTTTTATTTTAAATATAAAAATTAGTCCTTTCTTAATTTTATATTACGGATATCGCTTCGTTGATTGTTACATTTAAATTATGTTGTTTGTCATTAAAACATGCTCATAACATTTATCTTTTGATTCTTTAGTTATGTATGTATGTATGTATGTATGTATGTATGTATATATATATATATATAAATATACATATATATTTACATAAAAGATATTGAAAGAGTTACAAGTTTAAAAAAAAAATTTTTCAATTTACTACAATTTTTCAGATTGCACGTTAAAAGTACTTTTTTTTAATTAAATCTCATTTGGTGTATATATATATATATATATATATACACACATTTTGTTAATAAAAATTTGTTTACTTTCTCTGTATCACTACCTTGACATACAGAATGGATAACAAAAGTAACAACTTTAAATAAAAATAAAAAGCACATGCAGATAGCAAACGTTTTAAGTAATTATTTATTTCGTAAGTTTATGTTGCAATATGATTGTGTAATAATATAATTGAAAATTGTGAAGAAGCAGCATTATTGTAGAAAGATTTTTAATCTATTACGTTAATCTATTGTATGTATTGTAATTATTAGTTATATATATAACTGTCACATGCAAAATGTAAATTAGCATGAAATATTTAATTAACTTCATTAATTATTCCAATAAGATTCAATATTAATTTTGTGTATGTGCGTGTGTATTCATGAATCTAATTGGTAATTGTTATTTTTTTGTGCATTAAATAATTAATAGATTTGTATACTTTATTCGATATAATTATTATTCTATTAATATTCACAAAATTGCAAAGAACCTTTAAATCTCTGTGCAAACATACCGGAGGACTTCTTTCCCTACGCATGTCCAGATCGCCAAAGCCACCTTCGCCACCAGACTATCAATGTATCAATATTAGCAAGTTAAACAACTGTATTTTCTAAATTAATTATTAAAAGTGCAATTATCCATAAATATTAATAAGATATTAATTTTATAATGTTATCTGCATGCTGCGTAACTGAACCGAAATTAAAGGAAAAATACAAAAATAAAAAATGAAAAAGTAAAAAACAAAACAAAACAAAACAAAAAAATAATAATAATAATAATAATAATAATAAATTAAAAAAAAAAAAAGAAAAAAAAAGAAAACTAATACATGCTGTTAAAATGAAATAAAAATATGAAAGTGAACAGATTTTTTTTTTATCCTAATAATTAAGATCTATAAATAATTAATAAACTCATAAAAGATTTTTAATAATAATAAAGAATTTAAAAAATTTACAATCTATAATAATGTATTCTACAACAGTGATTTTAGGCATGTGAAAAAAAAAAAATCTGAATTTAAAAAGAACTTTTGGATTTCATGTATAATTCTACAATCTGGGATAGATATAAAAGTTATGATTTTATACGCATGAAATAATATTGAAATATAAATTTAATGAAATAGTACACACCTCCATGGTGTCCAGTGAATTGTACACCTGGATGAATAAGATACAATGAAAGAATAATGTAAACATGATGCAATTTAAAGCTGTCATGCATAGATGCTTCTACATTTTAATAATTGAATTCTAAAGGACAAGTTTTTATATTTCTCTAAGTTATGTATACATTGCACGACTATACATATATATCTTGTAACAAGTATTGTAATTTGTACAACTGTATTTTACAGATTTACTAAGATCTACAACAGCGTATGGGGCGAGAACAAAAAAATATGCTAGAGTTTATTATCAAATGAAATACTATATGATAATAAGCAAATTTTATATTAAAAAATGTATACTAAAAATGATTAGACAATAATAGCAATACTATTTTTTTTTTTTTTTTTTTTAAATATCAATGTAAAAAATGATCACGTGTATTTTAGCTGCAAATTCCATGGAATTATATGAAGCTATTTTTTTCCTTTTTCTTTAACTATTTTTTTTCAAAAATGAAATAAAACAATTTAAGGAACATTTTCATTCGAATATTTATAATATCACACGAAGTAATTTATTGATTTAAACATTATTAAAATATTGGATTTATTATATCATAACAACATTATGAGCTATGAACACAAAATTATATTAGATTGAATAAATTTTAATGTACTTACACTACGTACTCCATTTTGTGATAAACCTTCTATTTCTTCATCTACACCGACCCTATAAGGAAAAAAAAAAAAAAAAAAAAAAAAGAAAAAAAAAAAAAAAAAAAGGAAAAATAAGGATAATATTATTAGTATTAAAAATAAAAAAAGAAAAGAAAAAAAGAAAAAAAAAAAAAAAAGAAAACGAATATCGAATAACTATACCATACTTACGGTATATTAAACCAACTTAAAAATTGAGTCGTTGCACCACCTTGTAAAATTACTGTCAAGATCACAATTAAACTTGTCGTAGTTAACATGGCTTGTCTAGCACCTGATACAGTATTTCTAATTGCAAGAGCAAAACTCATGGCTCCGCGTAGACCAGCGAAGAAAAGCATGTGTTGATAATTCATTGAAATTTTTGGTTTTCTTGCTAAATTCAATATGAATGATAATGGATAAACATTTGCAGCACGTCCTAAGAGAGCACAAAGCTATTGTATTGTAGTTAAGGATATTATTACATACATAATTATATACATATTATAATTTTATATTCATAGATTTAAAAAAGGATACAAAGCCAGCAAAGATGAAGCCTGGATCAAAGTGATGTTTTGGAAAGGTAAACATCGAAACGCCTATATAACTGAATATAAAATTTTCAGCTAAGAAATTTAATAATTCAAAGAGATGTTTTGTCCGTTGACGAGAATCTGGGCTTAAATTATTATACGTATAATGTGCTTGGCAAATGCCACAAAATAAAACAGCGACCACACCTAAAATTGCAATGTAACATTATATATATTTTTTATAAAAAAGAATTTGTATCGTTTTTTTTTTTTTTTTACCTGTAAGATCTGAAGCTTCAGCAATTAAAAATGTGCTATAAGACATTAAGACAAATAGAGCCGATTCTAAAAGTGGAAAATCTCTAACTCTAGTAAATTTGGTTAACAATGCAGTAATACATCCCATGGTGGCACCAATGAATAAGGATAAACTAAAAATACAAACAAAATCGCCAAATGCTTGAAAGAATGCTACCGTTTCGAATCCCCCAGATCCAGATTGGTAACGTTCACCATAATTTTGTATTGAACTGGAACAGAAAAGAAGGTACAACATATTTCTTTGTATTTAATACTTTAAATTAATATTAAAATGAAAAAATTTTAATGTTAACAAAAATAAAAGAAAATATATATATATATATACACATATACATACCCACTGAGAACAATAGCAACTGCATCGTTAAGTACACTTTCTCCAAATACTAAAGCATATAAGTTAACATCTACATGCAGATCGTTAAAAATAGAAATTATTGTTAGCGGATCTGTCGGAGATATCAGAGCACCAAAGTACAAAGTATCCAAAAATGTAAATGATGTAGAAAGATGTGGTATTAATTGTACGAAGGCATACATCAATGCTCTGAAAAGAAAAACATGATTCATACTAATTAGGTCAGAATACTCAATGAGAGTTTTACTATCATGTTTACAAAGTATTGTTCTCTCTCTCTTTCTCTCTCTCTCTCATTTATTTTAACATGATAACTTAAGTACAGATAGCAGATAAATATAATCAATTGACCTATGGATAATAAAGTTATCAAAAAAAAAACAGACAGACCAAACAATGTTAAAAAAAAATTCAAGTACATCAATGAGACAATAAATTTCATAGAATCATATACTATGAATAATTACCCAATGACAAATGCTGATATTGATGTTCCAAGCAAAGCATACATTAAAATTGCTCCTAAATTCCTAAAGAAATATTTCTGAAACAATATAATAGTATATACATATATAATAAGTATAATTTATTCATTAATTATATTATTATATATAATAAAAATATTAATTAATATTATTTACCCTTTTCAAACTATATCCAGCATGAAAAATTATTGGTGGCAATATAATATTAAAGAATATTTCCGGATCGAAAGTAGCCTGTAATAAAGACGAGATATATTATAAAAATAAATAATATTAATTATAATAAAATATTTTCAAAGTTTATAAAAGTTTACCTTCAAATCAATCTCATTGTCCTCTTTATAAATTTCTCCACGAAAAGTATAAGCAAATGTTTCATTTTTAATTACACCGCCACCTTTGTCTTCAGGAAAACGCAACCATAATGTATCTGGAGGAACTGATTGATTATATTTACTACTGTTATCTGGTACAACTGGCATATGCAGTATAGCACTATTTGTTGTAAATCCATAACGAATGATTGCTCCTATGATCAACCCTGAAAAAAAAAAAATATATATATATATATGTATATACAATATATACAAAATACAACAGTATATAATAATTACAAAGATTACTTATGGCACTAAACGTTTAACTGAACAATGAATACAATGAACACATATTAAAATACAGGAGCAATTATATTCTTCCTTATATAATATGTTGAAATGCAAAATGACTTATACAATCTATTACCTAACCAAGTATATTATTCTGCTTTTTTTTTTTGTTTTTGTTTTACATTTCCTTTTATGATTCAATGACAAAATATTGTTTACTCTTTTATATAAGATTGAAAATAATACTTGATGCATCAGTACATGATCTTTGAAAAAAGGAATATATAAATGAAAAAAACCAATGCTCTATCAACAATTTTAAGAAAAAATATTAATTGATTGATTTATAATTATAGTTCTAATATTATATCGACAATAAATTTTTATTATTATAACAAATTGTAATATCGATTATTTTGTTAACAATGATATCATTAAAAATCGAGAGAGAGAGAGAGAGAGAGAGAGAGAGAGAAAGAGAGAGAGAGAAAGAGAAAAGATTTAATAAAAATTATCCAATATAAATAAATATATACGGATAAAAATGTCGAGGGACAATAATGATGGAATCTATGAAAATTACGACGTAGTTTTGTTGTTCCTTATTACATAATGGTATCATTAAAATATTTATATTTCGCATAAACCGCAAATCATCTCAATGCCTATGACATTTGACAGTAAATTGACAATAAAATTTGAAAGTATATTTAACGTTTGTTAACACTCGTCGCATTGTTTCTTTCTCTTTTGTTAAATATCAATCAACATTGATGATAATATTAAATTAACAATTAAATGTTTTGATTAATGGTAAAATGTATTATTCTTACCATAAATGACAGCTAGACCAGTTTCATGGAGGAATCTTAGTCGACGATGCTTGAATGTCCATATAGTTAATACAGTTAATATTAACAAAAATGTATAAAGAAGGAGATTTAAACTATCAAGTCTATGTAATAATTGAGCTTTAGCATCTAACTCAATATCTGTCGCTGCACCGTCGCATGAATTTAACAGGAAAATAGAGAAAATTATATAAAATAAAATACGTATACCACATTCAACTGCCATTTTCACTTTTCTGATATTTTCTAACGTAGTATCAGTATGACCAACTTTTACGATTGAATTCTTGACAAAGTTTAAATACATACATGTGCATATCATGCGTGTCATGAACATTGAAAAAGTAACTAGAGAGGGAACTGTGCGTTGCCACGTCAGCGTCGCCTGGCGGCCATTAAAGGAAACTAACACCGCAATGGCATCTTTATATCGCCATTTGAACGTCTTTTTATATACGATATATTTTCACGTGCTAAATTTTAATTAATTCAGAATTTATGATTAATAGAAACGAATAAACGTGATATATAAATTTATACAAATTTATATTTAGTTTCGCAGTACTTTATATTGTTTCATCCAGTGATTAGTATAAAAATTGTACTATATTTAGTTTAGATACATCTATATACATATAAAACTTTCGATATACAATTATTTTATTTTGCATTGCACTTTAAATAATGGGCCTTTCTTTTTTTTTATCCCTTGAACTTGTAATGAAAAATATTAATTTATATACATGTTAAATTAGATCGTTACAAAGAGTTTTGTGTACATACATGTATATATTTACATAATCGTCTGTATAATAATTTCAATTCTTTTCTATTTCACTAAAGTTCCTCCTTATCTTGCGAATTTTTATTTTCTAATTGTATTGATTTATTTTGAACAAGACTGGACGAACTTAATATAACAGAAATTTGTTCCGGTAACGGGCAAGCAATTAATAAAAGTTCTTCCGAAGTATAATACTTGCTTAATAATTGATATAATTGCGCAAATGCAGCACTAATATTATTCTTTATCGGTCTTAATAAAATAAATTCTGTTTCTTTGTTGGCTAAATATAATTGCATCGATTGTTGAATATTTGGAAGCTTAAATTTAATTGTTCGTAAAACATCGGCAACAATGGCATTTACTTCTTGAGCAGTCCCAAATATCTTTTGTTTTGTATTTGCGTCGGGAGAATTAGAATATACTTTTTCCTTTTCTAATAATTGCATAATGGGATTTATCAATACATATGTAGCATGTTGAATTAATCTCTGGCACGCATGTTTTAGGTTATTATCAACCTCCTTACGAGAATCAATTAATTGTTCTTTCATTTTAGGTGCGCCTTCTAATAGAAATTCCAATAAGGCATTGTTCGACAAAGTGAAAAGCTTTGAACTTTTCTCAAACAATCCAAAAGCCGCCATCTTTACTCTGGAAAAATCCAAACTATATTCCTTGATAGTGAAGTCTACTTGAAACGGGGCGATTTGTTCACGTAATATTAGTAAGTGTTTGATTTGAAATAATTCAGCATCCAACGTAGAAGCTCTATTTTCAATATCATTTCTTGCCTTCTCTATACTTTGGACACAAAGAGATATAGCCTCTTGACTAAGCGATTGAAATACAGATCTATCTACGCATCTATAGAGTCGTGATAAGCAAACCAATGTTCTGCGAACTGTAGGATACCACATTCCATGTAAATCTGCTGGAGAACTACCCATATGAGATTTTTGATAAATAGAATCCATTATGATATGATTTCTTGACACTGGCTCTAAGATATTACTGTCGTTAGATGATACAGATATTCTTTTCATTCTTGATTGACGTGTTTCCTCTCTTATCGATTCGGCAATATCTTCCATCATTTTTAATTTTTCCGGATACGCTAAATCGCCAGGCGATGGATTATAATTTAATACGTCAGATTGTAAATACAATTGAGCACGGAAAACAAGTCTCTCTTGTACATCGTGTAAAAGTTGTAAGCAAATATTTCCAAAGCCTTCTAATGGCTCAAAATTATTTTGCACGTGTTCGTCCAACATTTCTATCCTTAAAATACAACAGATTTCTGCCAGAGTTTCTAAATGATTTATATGAATTATAAACGGTCTTATGGTGTCGTATAAAGAGGTACAAAGACTTTCAAGAAATGTTGTTAGGCCGATAGATGGTTTCGAAAAGAATTCATAAAACAATCTGTATTCGTCAACCGATGCATGTAAAAGTAATGCACACGAATGTCTGACTAAACTGCAATGATCTCCGTTGTATCTCTCCTTTATGGCAGATAATGATTTTTGAATGCTAGGGCCTAATACTAAACCTCTTTGACTCCAATAATATTGATGACATTCTAATAATAAATTATTATATTCCTGTCTTTTTACAGATTTCGTTTCCACTTGTTCTATTATAGGTTTTACTTTTGAAACGATAGTTTGAAATCTCCCATAAAATAATGCCAAAGCAGCATCCATATTTTCTTGTATACCTTCAGTTTCATTAAAATTTAAAATGCTTTCTGTAGTTCTTGAAAATAAATTAAAAACATAATTTTGTATCAAAGTTATAATCTTGGATTGACAATGTCTATATTTAACTAAATAAGTGGCACTTTCTTTGAAAGTATTATTTGTTTGTAAAGCATCCATATTGATATCTACTTTGTCTACTATGTTAAAAAACATATCACTGTTTACGGATAAAGTAGAAGCTTCTAATTTTTCCATTATCACATCTACTTCTTTAAAATACTTCACATATTCCGCAATACTTTCTACCATAGAATTTAATCGCTTTTGATCCGAGATAAGTTCTTCGCTAGCATTGTGCAATGAGGATGTTTTATCAGATACTTCGGCATATTGTTTAAATAGAATAGAAAAATCTTCTAAGGTATCCTTGATAAGCTCACAAAGTTCTTGACATTCTTGACGACGTGTTTTAAGATCATTTAAATATAACATATATTTCAAGTTCTCAGATGATATAAATTCCTTTTCTAATTTCGTATAATATTCTAGAACATCTTGACATCGTTCAATTTGCGTTATGTTATCACACTTATTTTGATTTAAATGTTCATTATTCTCGCTGGTATCTTCGTATGTTGAATTGTTGAGAGAAGAAAATTCTTCTTCCAATTTTTGCAAACAATCTTTTTGAAAATCTGTTAACGGTGCCAGACAATTTTCAGCAGAATCCCATTGAATTAAATCACCCGGGGTACACGTTACTCTCGCCATTTTCTTTACATTTCTGACGTTGAAATTCGATCGCGTATCGTACTGCGGCCCTACAACGCCATCTCGCGTTAGAGATTTAGTACTAAATTAAAACGAATCGTGACGTGTAAAGATATACCGATTGATCAATTTTTAAATATAAATGTATATATAAATTTATTTTTATTTCTTGGAAAAAAAAAAAAAAATTGAATAAGAGAAAGGTTCTGTTTTTTTTTCTTTATATTTATATCATATACATATACACGACATAAACATTTCATATATTATATTATTATAACTCAAGAAAATATATGGAATAAATAAACTGTTCTTATTTGTTTATTTGTTTGTTTGTTTTTTTTCGTTCTTAATTATGTTTAAATTAAAAGTTAAATTATTTGAACACTTACATGATTTGTAAAATATTATTAAAACTAATTAATTTTTCAATTTATTGCATGTGTTGACGTCTACGTGCAGCTCTTTGTTTGTCAAAACGTAATTCCATTTCTTCTAAAACTCGTGGAGTATAACGAACAACAAGCTTAACCGAATTCTGAGCTTGTTTCAAAAGTTCTACCGCCTTCTCGTGATTTTCTCCTTCGACACACTGATATAAATTTATTCAGATAAGACAAACAATGTATCTTGTTTATTGGACTTTGTTTATTGTTAAAAAAAATGTTTACTAACCACACCATTGACGGAAAGAAGCTGATCTCCGCGTTTTAATCCACCGTGCCTATCTGCAACACCTCCAGGAATAATTCGAGATATATATATAGGAGAATTTTGTTCCTTTCCTCCCATTACATTAAATCCAAGGCCTTCCTCAGTTTTTGGCAATTCTACTACTCTTGGATGTGCATGACCTTCGCTTGCCGCAAATGCCGCAACAGTGGCTTTAGCTGTAGCTGATGCACGTACATCTTGTGATCCCTTAAAGAAATGATATCACTTTAAAATTTTACTTTCATCAATTTTATCAATTAAATATTAAATAAATTACCTGAATATCTACGGTTTCGTATACATGTTCGTATACTTCTCTTACAGCACTGAGAAAGTCACTTTGTAATACTTTTTGTAATGCAGCTAATTTGGTTGTTGGAACTTCACCACCTGAATTTTCATACAACACATAATATATATTAAATATATTAATAAGAAATTAATTTTATATATCTTTACCTTTTTGCAGTTTGTCAAGAAGTTCAATGGATCTTTTAACATCTGAAAAATATAATATATGATCTATCTGTTAAAAATAATATCAAAGGAGAATAATCAATAGTAATATAAGTGACACATAATTCTTTATTAACATAATATCAATAAATTCGATGACTTCTGTCAAATCTTTAATGAAATATACATTACCTCGCGCTAAAGTAAGTGGTTCGCCCATCGTCGTCATTTTTTTTCCTTTTTCTTTTTCTTTCTTCCTTTTTTCTTCTTTTTTTTTTTTTTTTTTTTTTTTTCTTTAACAATATCAAATAACTATATTCTTTCTTTTATCGTATCGAATTATTGCGAATTCTATAAATATATTATTAATAATTATAATCTTTCCACTTGCTTGATCTAATCTGGAACGTTGTGGTGTAAAGTCTATTGTGCAAGTTTTCAAATGTGATCGCATAAAGCCATATATAAATTTTGATTGGACAATACACATATCGATAATTTAAGCGGTGAATGTATCTCTCGATCAACCAATCAGAATCGTTGATGACAATTAACCATTATCTAGGTTTTATTTTTTAATTTCAGTTAGTTTTCCAACACTGTGTTTGTAATATATTGTTGACGTGCAAAAAAAAGAAGTATGTTGTTGGTTGTAGTGTACGCGTATAAATTGAAAATGGACCTTTGACAGTTTAAATTTTCTATTATTTGCAGCAGAATAAGGAATGAAAATGACGACAATAAATTATTTAGATTTAGACATTAATAAACTTTTCGAGCAGCATACGATAAAAGAAATTGAGGAAATTCAAAAGAAAATTCAATTAGAAAGTGACCGTAAGAAGATCGAATTACGTACTCTGGTTGGGTAAGTTATTAATAATTATTTATTTGTTAATTATTATTATTATTATTATTATTATTATTATTATTATTATTATTATTATTATTATTTTTGTTATATCAATAAACATATCCCTTTCTTTTAGAGAAAGATATCGTGACTTGATATTAGCTGCGGATACAATTGGAAAAATGAAAATTACCGCAGAAAGGATCAGTTCAAGAATAGCAGAAACGGAAGAGAAATTTCAAGAGCTTCAAGAGAAATATCTCATTGGTTTTAAAACAGATTTTGTCGAGAATGAACCTGACAGGTACAGATTAATATATTACATTAATATACGGATTGAATTTAATTACAATTTTTGATTGATATGTTAACATATTACAGGAAATCTGAAGAAATGGCTGCTGTTATTATTCAAATAAAAATATTAATGGACATTCCAGAATTTGTTTGGTCTAATATAGAAAGCCAAAATTTATTGTATGCTACTCAATTGTTTATCTTAGCGCAACACATTAAGTATAGATTAAAATTTGAAATAGGTAACGAGGAGTTAACTTCAAAATATCCAATAGTATTTAAACAGTGGGATATTATAGGTCAATTTAAAAATATTATATTAAGAGAATGCGATACGATATTGCGATCATGGAATGTATCAATCGAGGTAAATAAATAATTTTATATTTATCTTGAAAAAATATTAAAAATGAAGGATGAATCGGTATTTTCTATTTCAGAGTGCAGCGAACTGTTTAGCATCGCTTATATTATTAAATAAAACCCCATATAAGGATTTATTAGAGAAATTAATATTTACCAGATGTCGTGCCGTTGAATCTGTAATCAAGGATGAAAATGATTATAACGTTAAGACAAAGATAAAACTCTGTATAGAAATGCTAATTCATACTATCACATTAATTTATGCTTGCTTTATAAGTACGTATATAGTTTCGTTTAATAATATTTTCATTTTTTAAACTGTTATCATTTCATTGAGAAGAATCTCTTTTATAAGGATTTTTTCATTTCAGCTGCTGGAGGTAAACAAGAAGGTTTGGTTTCGCAATATATCGCACTGATAAAGGATGAAAAAGTATATTCGTTACTTTCAAAGATCGATGCGAACAAAGATTTGATAAAGAAATATTTATCATCTGTTATAACAAATGAGAAACCATTTTTACAAGAAGGAGATGATAAATTTTCTATATTAGATCTACAAGAATGTGTTAAAGCATGGCTGAATTGGCTTAAAGAATTTTGTAATAACGAAGTCGTTAAATTATTTCAATTAATAATTTCTGTGAAAGGTTTATACAGTATACGGGAGGAGGCTGTTGGAATTAATTTACCAGAAAATTGGAACATCATATGGGAGGACTTTGGTTTACCAAATATAAGTTATTGGTTAGAATTTTTTCAACCACTTTTAAGTCAAAGAGCAAAAAGTACGTATTGTTTAGGACAAAAATCTAATATATCATTCATTATATTTCACATACACATATATATATGTTTTTAGATATCATACACGATAAATGGTTGGAGGCTACAAAAAATCTGAAAACTAATATATCTGATATGTTAAACAAAGTAACCAGAGAAAGATGTGAATTTCCTGAACACGATTTACGATGGTTCGTTTGGAAGGATTCTCCAAGCGATATACCACAGAGATTAACACACAATATTGTATTGGATAGCAAACGATCCTTATTAATGAAAACTAAAGGATATTCTCCTAACGTGGTACAACTTTGTGAAGATTTTGACAATAGTTTATGCGAATTACTTTCAGACTTAGAACAGTATTTGTATGATACTGTATGCAATTTAAATATCAAAGATAATTTATTATCTAAAAATATATCCGTAATACCTAATACGTTTTCCGATCGAGCCGAGATTCAAGATCATTTGCAAAATGTTAGTACCACTATGATAGAAGATTTTATACGATACGTTAAGGATACGTATATCGATAACAATACCAATCATAATCAACAAGAAATAAATACGATAGTATTGGCGAGGCTTCTTATGGCATTCACCTCGTTATCTCCTAATTTAAATAAATGTTTTAATTTATCCAAGGCAACTGGATTGTCTATAACAAATACGAAATGGCAAACGATAGTCGATACTCTTAAAGAAGAAAGTATTTCTATATGGTCCGTTTGGGCCAATAAATACAGAAATAAATTGATCGATCATAAAGAAAAATATATGTCAAAAGAATTATTTGATAGTTTAAAAATAAAGTCAGTTTTATCAGATTGGGAAAAGGTAATGATCGAAGAAGAATCTGGGGATGGTAAAACATTGAAAACTGAAATATTAGTGCCGTATCAACCATCAATAATGCTACAGAAATTTTTAATGGCAGTGATCAAGGATTTAAATAAAATAATACCACATACCATTCCAAAGTAATTATTAAAAATATATATTCAAAGAAACAGGGTTAATATATATATATATACATATATATATATATATAATTATTATATAAATATTATATAAATATTAATATAATATTAATATATATGCATTTACAGAAAAGTACTTTACGAGATTATCGAAGCCGTAGCATCAGAATTATTCAATTATTATCAAGACACATCCAACATTGTTAATCTTAAACAAAAACAAGCATTGCAAATAGTATTCGACATTAAATATTGTACTTTACTTATGGTACCAAGAGAGAACAAACACTTAAACGAAATGTCATCGAAAGCTACAGACAGTGCACTTTCTAAAATAGATCCATTCGATTATAACGTTATCAATCCATTCATTCATACAAACGTAAAGAAAAGCGTTTTGAGATCTTTGGTAATTGTCTGAATATATAACAAATTTAATTACGTGTAAAATATTTTACAAAAAAAAGAAAAAAAAAAACAATATTTTCGTCTTACAGCTTTTGCTTGGAAATTTAATACCTCATTTGGAACAACTTCATTCGGTTCTCGGTGCACGCAGCGAATACAATGCTGGAGAAGGAAATAAATTAGATTCTCCAGCATTGCTTGCACTATGTACAGGTGCACCATGGTTCCCTCCTCTTGCCATAACAGTACCAATGAGAAATTTATCTCTAGTAACAACAACGATACAAGATAAAACTCAGGTAAAAGGATGTTACAATTTCATGTTTATTATTTATTAAAATTCATTATTTATATATTTTACATATTATATACATATATATATATATATATATATATATATATATATATGCTATATATATATATATGCTATATATTATCTTACATGATTAGTTTATATATATCTATATATTCTCAGATCAACCCTTTGATATAAGTACGTCTTTTAATAAATACGGTAAGAGAAGAGACGTGATGCATGATTTGATCATATTGTTTTTATAACTATTTTATTATTAATGCAATATTAACATAATCACCTTGATATATGTATAAATATTTTATTTAATGTTTTAATATTTTGAACATTAGCGCAAGAAAGTAACGACAGCAAAGGATAATACAAAAACCGAATCTACTGGATCTACGATAAAATCAGGAGCAGCAGCATTTTTTGGAGCAATGGGTTCGGATTGGTTCAGTGCTAGTTAAATAAAAAAAAAATATATATATACATAAGTGTATATATATATATATTTATATAAAAGAAATATATAAATCCTTTTGTAAAAGAAGATGACGATTGTGATAAAAGAGAGATAAAAGTATATATATATATTAATATTATTTATCAATTATATACTCCATATTTCTTTGTTTTCTTTTTTGTAAATATTCATAAATTCGTTCGAATTTTTAATAGATTTGCGCCTATAGTAGTTATCGAAAGGGTCGCCAGAGGGCGCCAAAATTTCTATAAAGTAATAGACATATGAAGATGTCGCTCTAGTTGTCAATTGTGAGTAGTCAGACATTTATGAAGATGGCCGAATGGGTCCATCCGTGGTTATATCGGTAGTGAGACGCGCTCGTTCTTATTCAAAGAAAAATCAACACGGCGAATCCGTTCAGCTTAAAGAATATCGACGCAATAACAAAGAGTCTCGGCATCATCAAATGGTGAGTTTTTAATTATTAAACATTTTTTATATTTTTTGTTTTCATTGTTTTTTTTCTTCAATTTGTCAATACTACACGTTTCTGTGTGTTCGACACTCATAAAGTATTTGCGAATTCGCCAGACGCGGTGTTTTTGAATGGTATTTGAAACAAATAAGATGTATTACGACAACAACGATCAATTTTATAAAATTATTTACATTTGTGTCATGTTAATCTCTATCTAATCTTTTAACGTTACACTTGAGTTCTATTTCGAAATTCGCGCCTCTCGTTTGATTCTTATATGCATTCGATGCGTGCTTGCATGCGTGTGATGACACACGCATATGCGTTCCTCTGTTCTCTCTCTCTCTCTCTCTCTCTCTCTCTCTCTCTCTCTCTCTCTCTCTTTCTCTCTCTCTCTCTCTCTCTCTCTATCTCTCTCTCTGCATATGTATGTGCAGCTATATACATAGGTTAAACTTCATCTTTGAAGATTAGATTATTGAAACGTCTCTCTTTACAAATGAAAAATTATTACTGATAACGTAGGTACAATGATCGTTTAGTCGTGTAATAAAATAACAAGTAAATATATCATTTGTGAGGCAACGAAAATAAAAACTGATCTACGATTCTTCATATATATATATATATATATATATATATATATATTCGTATATATAAAATATATTTTATATATATATATACACACACATACACACACACATATATATATATAAATAGCTACTGTTTTTTCTTGGACGAATGCCAATATTATACATATCATCCTATACTGCATTATCAAACAAGTTTTATCAATTCGAAGTAACGAATCAAAAAAACGTCATCTCTTCTTCTTATCTTTCTCTCTTACAAATGAGAAACGACACGACGTTATAGATAATCTACGTAAAAAGACGTCTGCTTTATCTAATCGGATCAGAGATTTGATTGATAAACTTGTTGGTGAGTATGTACGACGAAGATACAACAATTTGAGAAGTGAGGTGTGTGTGTATTCATATATATATATATATATATATATATATATGTGTGTGTATATATAAACATACGTAATGTAAATACAATTTCAAATGAATCAGAAAGAAATATTTCGTGACGGTAGGGGGTTTGCTTACTATAAAGCTTATGATCTATATTTAACCTAATCGAACTTATTGTTCGTTCGAGAATTTTATTTAATTTTAGTTTTTTTTTTCTTTTCTTTTTTTTGCGACATTAGATTTTTAGATTAAAAGTATGCGCAATGATATTTTTTTATAGAAAATGTTTTCCTCTTTTTTATTTTTTTATTTTTTTTGTCTTATTTTGTTTTGTTTTTTTTTTTTTTTTTTTTATTTTTTTTCTTCCTTTCGATAACAACAATTGTTAGTTACGTCGATGGTGGCGCTGCAATCGAAAAAAATTGGGGGGGGAGGTTAGATAGTTTGTAGAAATTAATTTATTTTTATTTATGACATTGTTACCATTAATGAAAATTATATTAACATAGTGGGAGGTATGTAGGTGTGTTAGAAAAAATGCAAATGTGGACGAAAATAAAAGACTTAATCTTTAATCCAATACTAATCCGATCAATAAACGTACATACTTATAATAGACGTCATCAATTGAACTTACAAAGGCGAATGAATATTTTTTATTCTGTTTTGTTGTTTTCTCTCCTCCTTTTTTCAATTGTTTCTTGTAATTAGCGAAGAATAATTTAATAGCATTGAAAAAGTTCAATAGTTCAAGAGTTCAAGAGTTTTCGTCTCGAGGCATACGGCATTTATATTAGGAAAAGTGTATGTATGTATATAATAATCTTAATTTGGTTTATAGCACGATATATATACATATACATATATATATATATATATATATATATATATATATATATATATAGATTCACATAAACATATTTTTCTTTCTTGTCTTCTTTTATCTCAATATTCGGAAGGAGATTTTAACTTCTCTCTTTCTCTCTCTCTCTCTCTCTCTCTCTCTCTCTCTCTCTCTCTCTTTCTCTCTGTCTCTATTCTCGCAATAATGATTTGATACATCGTATATTAAATGATGTAATAATGGCGTCAGAATCACACGTAATTATTATCATATATTTCATATTTGATGGATGGAATGAGAGAATGATATACATACGTACCATACGTACGATGAATTTTAGAGAAAAAGATGAAAGATTAGTTGAATTTTTTTTTCTGGTTTATCATTCGCTCAGATTATTGGCGCCGAAGGTTGATATCGTTCGAAAAAAAAAAAAACAAATTAAAAAGAAGAAGAAAAGAGAACGTCTTCGGTTCTTTTTTACGGCTTATTTTCTCTCTTTTCTCTACACAATAATGATATTTTTATCATGTCAAAAAAGAAAGGGAGGAAAGAGAGAGAGAGAGAGAGAGAGAGAGAGAGAGAGAGAGACAGAGAGAGAGAGAGAGAGAGAGAGAGAGAGAGAGAGAGAGAGAGAGAGAGAGAGAGAGAGAGAGAGAGAGAGAGAGAGAGAGAGAGAGAGAGAGAGAGAGAGAGAGAGTAATCAGATGTGATCGTTCAATGTTATATTAATATTACAATTTTGTGAACCGTACAAGGTCAGTTTCAAATTGTTCAAATACAAATTGATATCAAGAATCTGTATAATTTTTTTCCTTGTTTTAACTTTTAATTTTTTTTTTTTTTTTTTTTTTTTTTTTTTTTTTTTTTTTTTTTTTTTTTATATGAATATTCGATCTAATTTTATCGACACACACACACATGTTTATATTTGATTGTATGATAGTAAATTAAATTAGTAAGGAAGAAGACAAATTAAAAAATTTCCTACAATGTTTTTCATATAAAATGTTATTTTCCTCATAATTTTTCCTATCTAAATGTGTTTATTATTATTATTATTATTATTATTAATAAATTGGAGAAAAGAAGAGGGTAAATTAAAAAGTTTTCTATTGAATTTTTACACTCGAGGGGTTACGAACTATTTTTATTATAATTTTTCTATTAAAACATATTTAATATTATTATTATTATTATTATTAAAATCATCGATATAACGCTTAACATTATTTCTCTATTTTAAGCAGTCTCCTTTTCTTTTTTATTTTGCCGAACATTTTTAATGATTAATTTGAGACTGTCACTGAATATCGTAACGACAGATATGATTAGTCGTTGTACTATTAAAAAATTGTCGGCATTCTTGATAAGTATTGAACGATAGTCATCCTTCTTCTTATCTCCTCCTAGCCGTTCAATTTTTTTTTTTTTTTTTTTTCATCGAATGTATAGAAAAATATATCTCTATGTGTGCACGCGCGTGTGCGTGTGTGCGTATGCATATATATATATATATCTATGAGAAAGAAAGAAGAGTGAGAGAGAGAGAGAGAGAGAGAGAGAGAGAGAGAGAGAGAGAGAGAGAGAGAGAGAGAGAGAGAGAGAGAGAGAGAGGTGGGAGTGAGAGATAGAGGGAGATAGATAGAGATAGGGAAGTGGTCCACGCAATGTATACTTAGGAAACTGCGTCCATCTCTCTATAAATTGATCGTCGTGCGTGCGACGAGATATTAAGTTCTTTTTTCTTTTCCTTTTTTTTTTGTTTTTTATTATTACTTTTTATTTTTTTTATTTTTTTGACTCTCATTATAGAGATGATAACGAATGGGACCGATAACGTACAGCGAACTCGGACTAATATATTCTGCGACTTTGTACTCAGCGAACACACGATCTTTCTCGTTACAACGTGACTCTTTAATATTTTCTTGCTTCTTCTTTTCTCTTTTCATCCTTTTTTTTTTCCCTTTTTTTCCGGTAAGAAACGGACCCGTACGGAAAAAGAAAAAATTAATTAATTGATCAATTAATTAGGAGAGAAAAGAGAAAGTGATATACGTACGTCTTATGTATTGTTTGTTATTATTATCGAAGTGTATATAATTGATTATTGAAAATTAAATCGATCGAAATTCGTCATCGATCATATTGATCTTTATTTTCTTCGTTTGTCTTTTATTTTTTTTTTTTTATTTTTTTTTGTTTCTTTTTTTTTCGATCAAATGAAAGAATCAAATTAAACAGTTTCACGTGTAATAAGTGCGATGAGGTGTGATTTTATCGATAGATCGTATCGAAATAATCGTTTACGTGGACGAAATCGACGTCCGTTACGATTGTAAGATAAAGTATTATTTAGAAAAAGTAAAAGGTACAGAAAGAGAGACAGAGAGAGAGAGAAAGAGATGTTGGACCGAAATGTTGTGTTAGTGTTACGTACAAGACAAGAGAGAACAGAAAGACGATTGAAACATAAAAAGGAAGCGAATCCACCCCCAATGGAACCACCCCCACAATTGTTGAATAATAATCATCTTTATCTCGATCTTAATATGAAACTTGGTTGTGGCAATAAATTGCATCAGGATAATTTCAAGACGATAAAAAAGGTAATAAAAAAGGAAATTTGTAATTTAAGTGGTTCGCATATAAAGTGTTACATATTTTTTTTTTATTTGTTTTTTTTTCTTTTTTCTTTTTTTTTTGTATGCAACATTTTTATATTTAAACAATTTCTTTTTTGATAATAATAATAATTATTATTATTATTATTGTTATTAAATGACAACGTGCAGTACCCAATTTCTAACAAAAAGATACAAATAATTTTATGAAATGTTATTAAAAAAAGAAAAAAAAAAAAAAGAAAAAAAAAAGAGAAAAAAATAAATTGCTACTAATCATAATATTTTTCATGTAGATCATCTTTGTAAATATTTCTCTTTTTTCTTTTTTTCTTGCTTTTTAAGAAATAAAATCATTTATCGTTGAACTATTATTTAATAAGACGAAATAATTAATATGTTCCATGTTATCTACTTTCTGTTGCAATCTGATGAGTCATAAAATCGAAAAGTTTACAAAAATATCGAATGATTTTAAATAATATCTATTTAATATCATCAATATATACAAAATACGATTACAAATATTTTTACGTTGCAATGCTTATGTGATTATCAAAGAGAGCCATCCAATTAACTATACATTACATAAATGGAACGTGTAATTATTAATGTTAGTTCGTATTTACGTTTGAAAATTAAAAAAAAGAAAAGGAAATAATAATAATAATAATAATAATAATAATAATAATAATAATAATAATAATAAAAAAAAAAAAAAAAAAAAAAAGAAAAAAAAACGAGCTGAGTAAGTTAATTAATGTGTTCGAGTGATCAATCGAGTAAAATACGATTGATCATTCTTTTATACATGAGAACGTGTATAAAACAAAAAATTGTATAAAATTTTCCAACAAGCATTTTGCTTATTGCAATATTATTTATAATTTTTATTATATTTTATATTATTGCGTATATCCTATTTATCAATTATCAATATACATAACTATATAATGATTTTATAATATTTATACGAATTTAGTTACTATTTTTTAAAATGGTAAGAGTTTATTTTATTTTATACACACATATATAAATCAGTAAAACTAGTATCTTATATAAGTATTAAGCAAACAAGTACAACCTGACCTCGTGATCATGGTACATGTCTTCTCTGTTCTCCGTTCACGTGGGTGGTTGACCGTATGGAATTATTGTAAAAGATTCTCTTAGTTATTATAACGAAATATAAATATTATAGAAATAATAATTAACATGTTTAACATTTATTATTTTTCTCGAATTAAATTTGAAAAAGAAAAAGAAAAAGAAACATGCAAATAATTAATTGAATCAGAAATACTTTGAAATTGTATACGAAGTTCCAAGATGGCTGTCGATGGACATCATGGTCATCATATTGATCATATCAATAAATAAGAAAATAATCGATAAATTAAACGATCGGTGTTGTTAAAATGGTTGACATTAAACCAACTTCTGTTGCAATTGAGTAATTACATAGTCAGTTATGTGATTACTATTTACATAAGTCTGTCCTATTGAAAGAAAGAGTAAGAGAGAGAGAGAAAGAAACAGAAATAGATAGATAAATAGATAGATAAATAGATAGATAGATAGATGAATGGATAGGATATACTGCAGACATTGGGTTGATTACATAACAAATTTGTGACTTGTTCTCGATCTGTCTGTTCGAATAATTGTAACTTATGCGATATATGATGCGTTGACAAAAAGACTTACTCTAATTCCAGTATGTCAGTGTGATCATTTATAGTGTAGGTCATGTAAAATATGTATGGACATAAGGCCGATATATGCGTAAAATTAAGATGATATATATTTTGTGCGTGTATGTGTGCATATGTATATATATATATATATATATATATATATATATATATATGTATGTATATATTGTGTCTCTTGTATTTATAAAGGTATCAAAATAACAAAGATCATGTTGGTTGGTGTATTGGTGTTGACACTGGTTCTGGTCCCTCTGGCTGAGGTTGTAAAGGATATGTAATACTTTATGAAGAAAAAGAAGAGAGAGAGAGAGAGAGAGAGAGAGAGAGAGGGAGAGAGAGAGGGAGAGGGAAAGAGGTGAAGGGAAATATTTCCCCCACTTTAGTTACCTTCGAGATTTTTATATCAACATATTAGTGTACATCAGAACACCGTAGGCTTTACAGTGTTTTCGCGAGCTAGAATACTTTTTAAAGAATTTTTTTTTTTAATGATCATTTGGTTCAGAGTTTTATTTCGTCTTTTTTTTTCTACATATATATTTTTATTTTTATTTTTTGTATTTCTTTTTTTTTCTATTTTTTTCTATTTTTTATTGTTATCTTTGAGTAATAGTTCAGTGATCGACCATCGAATGGATCCTAAAATTAGGCTTCTCCAATTTCGTTGAAGTTGAATCAGTAAGATTGTGCTCATTGAGAATAAGTATGAAGAAAGAAGGAGGAAAAGGGTAACGGAAGGAAAAGAAAAAGAAAAAGAAAAAAATAATAATACTAATAAAAAGAAAGAAAAGGAGGGAAGGGGTTGTTGGTAGAGACAGACGACGTGTCGGATTATCCGTCGGTGGCCGATCGAAACCGAGAAAGCGTGCTGTTCTAAGGTTTCCTCGGATAGCACGGTGAAGCCAAGTCGTGGAGTCTGTCCGAGTTGTAACGAGAGCGAGACTGATAAAGAGAGAAAGAAATAGAAAGATAGAAAGGAAAGAAAAAGAAAAAGAAAAAGAAGAATAAGAAGAAAAAGAAGAAAGAAAAAAAAGAGAGAAAGATTATATATATATATATATATATATTATTTCTTATTCTCTTTTTTCTTTTCCCTTCCTCCTTGGAGGTTCAAACAAAGTATTTTAAAGTGTCTCGGGATCACGTGTCCATCATGGATCATGGTAATGGTAGTGGAAACGAGGGTGGCAGTTCACCAGACACCGTACTAGCTCGTTCCTCATCAGACGAGGATAGACAAAGAAATCCTGAAAGTACTTCCGGTGAATATATCACTGTTGCCGGTAGCAGTTCAAGTTTGGATACTTTAGCTGGTCAACCTTGTACGACAACAAAGACTACCGTCAGTACGGTTACTAAAACTACTACTAATATTTTACCAAACGAGGAAAAGAGGAAAGGTGGTGGTGGTGGTGGTGGTGGTGGTAGTGGTGGTAGTGGCGGAGGAGGAGGAGGAGGAGGAGGAAGGTTTGGTATATTGAAGAATAGCTTTAGGAAGGATGGTGCTGGATTGTTCAAGATGAAAAAGAAGACAACTCGTGGGATGGAAGGAACCGACGATGGTACAACTATCGAGCTTGATCCTGATCCTAAAGATGATAAAGGTTAAGAAAAACCTTTATATATATTTGTTTTTTTCTTTTTATCTAATTCTATTTTTCCATATGATCAAATATTGATTTTTTTTTTTATGATTAATATATAATAACAATAACAATAAAACAACAACAACAACAACAATTTGGTTGTTAGATGAATAATTAACGATCGAATGGTAGGGCGATTCTTTGTTTTTTTTTGACGTTAAATTTCATTTCACGAAAATTATATTAGATTTTAGCAAAAAAATTGAGGATGACGAGACACGGTGTTGTTGGTAGTGGTGGTGGTGATGGTGGTGGTATTGTTGGTGGTTAGGGGAGGATAGAGTAGGGGAGGGGAAAAAATGCTTTGATCGGCAATCGTCTCTTTCGTTCTCAGACTCCTCAAGTCGCAAGAAGGTACAACGTAGTCGACAACAAGAAACGGAGGATGATCAAAGAACTACTGCGTCGATTAATGTTACAACCGGGGAGAGTCCTGTGACATTGAAAAAGAAAAAGTCACATTCTTTGGTACGGAGATTAAGTCTAAATAAATTTCGATTATCAACGGATCAATCATCACAACAACAAGACGAAGCGAGAAGAAGGACACCGGACGGCGGTGATAGCAGCCAATCTCAAAGCCAATCCTCTCAAGACTCGCCCAGTCACTCGGACAGCCCTAAGAAATTTACTAGGAAGGGATTAGACGTTGAAAAAAGTGTCTTCAGGGGTATACGGCATCGTTCTAAAGCCGACTCTGAACAGCTCGTAGGGGAGAGGGAAGGAGGAGAGAAGAAGGGAGAAACGAAGAAACCGGAGATGCTGATCGCGAAACCGGTGAGCACTGTCACTGTAGTACAACGCAGGTCTCCGTCGTTGACCATCAGAAGTGTTCCTAAGAGTTCTCAGCAACACGGTGAGCGTAATATGGTGACATTTTTTGAGGAAGTAGATCGATTAGGATTTATTGTTTAACCCTTTCGCCTCTAATTATTGGCTAAGTATTTTCAAAGCTTTGGTCAATATTTTAAATATATGATCAGTATTTATAAGAAAATGTATCGATAATTCTGCGGGTTGCAACTCTGGCACTCGATTATATATATTGATTAATATATAACATATATATAATATATGTATATATATATATATATATATATATATGTAAAATACATACCGTTAATTAACAAAATACTGATCAAATAAATATAGAAGTGGTTAATTTTTTTTTATTTTTTTTTTAAATCAGATCTTAAAAGAAGAGAAAATTTTATTTATTAGCTGATACACTCAATAGGGCATTTAGTTTTTCTTTTCTTTTTTTCCCGTTTCTTGTTCTCTCTCTCTCTCTCTCTCTCTCTCTCTCTCTCTCTTTTCCCTTCCTCTCTCTCTCTTCTATTTTCGAAATATACAGAATCACCGGATCAACAGAGTACAGAACAAGAAAGGAAATCCGAAATCCATTGTACGTCTACTTTGCCATATGCAATATCAAGATGGTCGGATCAACGAAAGGAATCAACGTCGTCGGACGTGTTGAGGCCAAAGAGATTATCGATAAAAGCCGAATCTGATGGCGGTAGTACTATTAATGCGAGGAAAACTTCGCCAGTAGAATTGCGTAGAAAATTGTCGTTATTGGAAGAGAAACGTGCGATATTTCAACGTAGATTATTCGAGAGTACAAGAGACATTAGTGATTCTGGTGAAACTGTAATAGCCGTAACATTAGACGAGGATCGTAATAATGTTATAGAGAAATCTCATGATTTTGATTTCGACGATGAGGATGGTAAAGATACATTGAAGAAAAAGGCAAGACACATTAGCGTAAGAAAGTTCGATACTTTTTCAACGTTCGAAGGTACTTTCGACGAGGATACTGGATTGGGTTATTTAGCCGGGATCGAGGAGGATTATACTGAGAAATTTGATAGGCAGGACGAAGAATACGCCAAATTACAATCAGCCATGGCACCCATGTTGGCAGCTGCCAATGATAACATTGAAAAAGCGAGATCTAGCAGCCAGGAAAGTGCGGTGAGAAAAATATCGATAAAAACGAATCGCTCTAGCTTTAGACACCCTATTCTTTTTCTTTCTCTCTATCTCTTTCTCTCTCTCTCTCTCTCTCTCTCTTTTTCTGTCTCTATCTCTCTCTTATCCCTACTATAGGGATTGGAGAGGATCGAGCGGGGAGAGATGTATGTACGTACGTAATAATCAATTATCAGGTATAAATCATTCTTCTTCGTCTGCTGCTCTCAAGTAAAACAAGTGATACGAGTCAATATTCATGGAGACGACACATCCACATACACATACATATCTACATATATATATATATATATATATATATATATATATATATATATGCAAACACACATGCACAGTGCTCATTATAAAATGTAATGATTTTTTTTCTTTTCCTCCTTCTTTTTTCTTATTTTTTTTTCCCTTCCCATTCAATTTCGTAACGATTTGTAACCTCGAAAATTAAATAGTCGATAGTCAAGGGGGTGATGATAAGGTGGGGGAAGAAGAAGGGGTGGAAGTGGAAGAGGGAGGGAGTAGTTACATAAAACACTGGTTCTCCTTTCTTGTCAAGTTGATTTTATTCTTTTCCGTTCTTTCTTTTTCTTTTTTTCTTTTTTCTTTTTTTTGTTTTGTTTTAATAACGCAGTTTCACGTACGATTCTTGTTGTGTTAATTGATCAATCGTATAAATCCTGACGTCATTGTCTATTATTTTTTATATATTATCGATTAGGATTGATAGAAATGATTTAATACATTTCTTTCAAATAATTATTATCCTAGTTAGCATCCATGTAGTCGTTTTAGTTGATGTCTCACGATCATGTAATTTTATGATATCGAGAAGATCGATATAGACGGTTGTACCTTGTGGTCTCCAGTTTGCGGATACCCTCGATCCATTTTCCTTGATCCCTCCCTCCCTCCTATCCCTCTAACCTCCTTTCTTCTAGCAGGTTCTCAAGTTACGCGGCTTTGCGTACTTTATCTTTTCTCTCTCTCTCTCTCTCTCTCTTTTTCTCTTTCTCTTTAATAGTGACTCTTGTCGTCTCGTTTGCTAGTATTATTGTTTGTAGTCATTTTTTTTTTATATAATAATATATTCAATTTTAAGCGAGGCCCAATGATAATGAAATTGACCTAATTTCCTTCTTCTTTTCTTTTTTCTTGTTTGTTTGGTTGTTTTTCTTTCTTTTTTCTTTTTCTTTTTCTTTCTTTTTTTTCTTTTTTTTTCTTTTTCTTTTTTCTTTTTTAAGCTTAATTCAATCATGTTAAAGTTTTATTTGGTGTAGTCAAATTGTTCTTTCAATATAAGCAACTATGGAAATATCTATTATTACATGTATATAAATTAAACGATCGTACTTATTGTATGAGAATGTTATCAGGTCGAAAGAATTATTGTTATTCTTCTAGAATCTCTTGTTTATCAACGTCTTCTTGATATACATATATATACAGGTTTATATACATACATACATATATATATGTATATATTTATTTGTACATGAAGTATAATACATTGACGCGAAACTCAGACGATGGTAGAAGTCATTTAGATTGCGACTTTTGTGCCAGCAACAGTGTACCAGCAACAGAAAGTTTCACTTGAGAAAATTTGTTAGAAATAATAATAATAATAATAATATTAATATTAATATTAATATTAATATTAATAATATTAATAACGGATAATAATAACAATAATAATAAAAGGGAAAAAATTTTATTCGTGATATTTCCCTTGACGTGTGAGAAATATGGATATGGAATTGAAGATCTGGCACAGACCAGAAGTGTTTAATCTTTTCAAGTGGAAACTCCAATCGAGACATTGGAAATGGTTCAAGGTTCATTTATCGAAAAGATCTATGTATCTTTGACGATGAACATTAAAAAAAAAAAAAAAAATCCCCCTCTCCCGCCTCGCATACATAATCATTTTTGATTCTTGGTATTTCAATTTTAGCCTTGTTTGAATATTTAAGAAGAAAAGAAAAAAAGAAAAAAGAAAACAAGCAAAAGGAAGAAGATAATAATCCCATTAATTTATTTATCGTATCTGATGAGAGAAAATTATTAATACATTTGACGTGTTGGGGATAAGGAGGAGAGGGCGGGAGGGAGGGAGGTCATGTCGATAAAATGAATTTGTCGAGTAGGTACCAAACGATAATTTCAATAACGAGAGTCGTCCAATGATCTTTACCCTATCATACTAAAGAGAAATGATCAAGCTATAATTTTCTTACTTTTTTCTTTATTCTTTTTTTTTTTTTTTTTTTTTTTCTTTCGTCTCTCTTTTCGTCTATCTCGCTCTCTTTTTTTCTTTATTTCTTTTTTTTGTTTTCTTTTTCTTTTTCTTTCTTTTTTTTTTTCCAACCACGATAAAAGATATAAAGAGAGAAGACACGACGTAGATAGAAACGTTCGTAGTATAATGATCAGTTCAATTAATAAATTAATATTGTTGTTTTATATTGAATTTTTCCAGTCGTCACAGAACAATGCTCCAAATATTGGAGTTGGAGAGAAGAGGGAGCATTTGTATAAGATATTGGTAATCGGTGAATTGGGAGCCGGGAAGACGTCGATCATAAAACGATACGTACACCAATTCTTTTCTCAACATTATCGTGCAACGATAGGCGTTGATTTTGCATTGAAAGTTCTCAATTGGGATCCCCATACCATAATCAGACTTCAATTATGGGACATAGCAGGTAAATTCGAAAGGATAAAACGAATGAATATTAAAAAAAAAAAAAAAAAAAAAAAAAAAAAAAAAACCTTGAAGTTTATTTATTTTTTTATTTTTTTATTTTTTTATTATAGCTATATACGATAAAAATCTTAAATATTTATTTCAAAATGAGATATATATATATATATATATATCATTTGATTATTCATACATTTAGGTCAAGAAAGATTTGGAAATATGACAAGGGTATATTACAAGGAAGCAGTAGGTGCTTTCATAGTGTTCGATGTTACGAGAAGCGCAACTTTGGATGCTGTCGTCAAATGGAAACAAGATCTTGACTCCAAGGTACAACTTCCGGATGGCTCGCCGATACCCTGTGTACTTTTGGCAAATAAATGTGACCAGCAGAAGGAAGGTTTGGTCAATTCCCCAAATAAAATGGACGAGTATTGTAAAGAGAAGAATTTCGTTGGTTGGTTTGAGACATCCGCCAAGGAAAATATTAATATTGAGGAGGCGGCAAGATTTCTTGTAAATAAGGTAAATATTATGAGAAACGGAATATTACAAAGAAAGAAAAAAAAAAAAAAAAGAAGAAAAGGAAAAAGATGAAGAGAAAAACAATTTTATGCGTTAATGAGTATTTTAGTTACGCGATCATCATCATCATGCGTATAAGACACGTGTGTATATATATATATATATATTATATGTGCTTCTAGCTTTAATTTACATAAGAATTGCGTAAAGTTCCTTCATATATGAGGAAAGACCAAAGAGATTTGTATATGATATACATATTCCATATGTATCTCCCTAATCTATTATTCTAACAAATTATTAGATTCGCATTGATTATAACGTCATTGTATAATACATATCGTTAGTTAACTTAATGAATGGACATTTAGATAATAATGTATACATTTAACAGATAAGTTACACCCTTATACTAAAACATGGTTAAATGATTAAGTAACCATTTAACACGTTTCACAAGTATATAATTTTCTTCGAATATTTTATTTCAAACGTTTTTGATTGAAGATTATCGTACGTTTTTATAAATTATTAATGATATCTCGAAAGAGAAAATGATAAGTGTTAGAAGTGGTTAAAGTTTCTTCTTTTCTTTTTTCTTTCCTTTTTTTTTTCTTTCATTCTTTTTTTTTTTTTTTCCAAATTACTATATACGTATCGATTTTGTTTCAGATACTTCAAAACGATCAGATTATGAGAGGTAATGATTCGCAGGATCAAAACGACGGTGAAAGATTTGCGTTGAATCAATCACCCGTCAGTTCAAAGAAATCTTGTTCCTGCTGACGATTTGGAAACGTCTTCGTCTTCGTCTTCGTCTTCGTCTTCGTCTTTGTCTTCGTCGTCGTTGTCGTCGTTGATCATTGTCTACTTCGACTCTGCGCACTCCATCTTAGAAGAAAAAAAAGAAATAAACCAAATCAACAAACTAATCAAACGGTTAAAAACAAAAAAGATAGAACCTCATTGTTCAGTATCGTTTTATTAACAAGTTATTATGATTTTTAATTATTGCTTCTTTTCTCTCTCTCTCTCTCTATCTATCTATCTATCTATCTATCTATCTATCTATCTATCTATCTATCTATCTATCTATCTATCTAACGAGAAATAACATTCCAATAAATATTTCTAAATTTCATATGTATATATATAATATCAATTCTTTTAATATGGTTTTATTGAAAGACAATGTAGACAAATTGAAAGGCTAGATTTTTTTGGATTGTGTGTCCTAGGGTTGATCGGATGAACGGACGAGAGGAAGGAAAGGTATAGGAGTGTTATTTGTTGTTAATTCCAGTTTTTTTTATTTTAAATATTCGTGATATAATAATGCGCATGAAGAGAATACAGATAAAATATATATATATATATATATATATATATATATATATATATATGCGTATAATAATATGGAAAAAAAACAGAAAACAAACAAACAAAAAAAGAAGGAAAAAGAAACTATTCGCATTATAATATTTTACTTTAATTATTTCAAGATATTTAAATTGTTAAAATATCCTCATCATCTCTCTCTATATAGATTTGTATTAAATCGATAGACTGAATGAGCGCAGCAACACATTTTTCTTTTATTCTCTAAAATCAATCAATCAATCAATCAATCTGTAAAGAGAAGAGAGACTCTGACATAATACACACATAATATTTCTATATATAATAACGATAAGATCTAATCAGGCTAAAAAAATAGTGATTAGAATAAGCGACTTAAATTTGGGGTAGCTATCAGAGACAGCTTAATAATAATTGCTAAAGCGTTAAGATTATTATTCTCAAGATGATTCTTCTTCTCTCTTTTTCTCTCTCTTTCTTTCTCTCTCTCTCTCTCTCTCAGAAAATAAGAATAAAAAAGAGAGATATCTTTAAGAAACGCAATATGTCGATAATTGTAAAGATTTAGATATTAAACAATATGATCATTCCTATGATCAGACGAAACAAAAAATTATATATGTATATGTATGTGTATATATGTAAAAACATATACATATATATATATATATATATTCTTTTTTAATTGTTATATTAAGCCAAGTGCCAGCGGCGAAGTGTCATTTAATGATGCACAAAAAAGAAAAATAAAAAAAAAACAAATAAAAAAAAACAGATTACAGAAAAACAAATAATATATATATATATATATATATATATATATATATATATATATGTATATATATGTATGTATTCGCCTATTATTCTAATCTAATTCTATTTTAATAACATTGGCTTCTAGCATTTGGCCTTTAAAATTCTAATTCTAATTCTCAGTGCCTTTCAATCGCTTATAACAGTTGTATCATTTAACTGTTGTAACGTACAAACGAAGAAATGCGCTTCGTCCTGGGCTGTGTGTGTATGTATGTGTGTGTGTATTTGTGTATATGTGTGTGTGTGTGTCTCTAATATCAACAATTAATTAATTTATTAATTAACTATACAATTAATCAATTAAATAATCGATTATTTCAGAAGTATATAATATATTTAAAAGAAAATCCTTTGGCATACTTTCGGAGCCGTATTGCTTCATGGGATTTTTTTTGTAGATAAAATAGATTTCTCTTTTATCTTTCTAATATATATATATACATTAATATTATTATGCTATTGTTGTTATTATTATTATTATTATTATTATATTATATTATATAGTATTGTAAATAATGCGTATTTTACATGTTACGAAAATTTTTACCGAATCGAACGACTAATCTTTGCTCATAATCATTTGCACTTTTATACCTAACGAGCAAGCAAGCAAGCCTATTCAAAAAAAAAAGAAAGAAAAAAAAAAAGGAAAAAAGAAACAGAAAAAAAAACAAAAAAAAATTAATACATATATAATATACATACGTATTTACATAAATAAATCATGAGAACAATATTAGTCTTTAGACGTCAATAATAAAACATATTGCATGCATTAAGTTAACATCGCTATTATTATATAATAATTATCGATCTACAATATACATGCCTCTAATCTCATATATAAACATATATATACATATTTATAATATATATATTTATAATATATATATATATATATATATATATATATATATATATATATATATATATATACTATAAATCTTAAAAGTAAATATAAACGTGTGTGTGTGTGTGTGTGTGCGCGCGCGCGTAGTGTGCTTGTGAAGACATAAATGTGCGATCTTCCTCTGTCATATATTATCTTCTTTATATATATATATATATATATATATATATATATATTAATATATTAATATATTAATATATATATATACATAAAAATTATTATATATATATTAACATATTTCGGATATAGATAGATTAATATTTAATTTAATTATATATCAAATTCGTTTTCCTTTCCTTTTGAAGAAAATTATATATAAATATATATAATATATACACATAGTAAAACAATATACACATACACACACACATACACATATATATATATATATATATATATATATATATATATACAGAAAATTTAAGTTTGGACTTTCGATGAAATAATATTAAAATATAAATAATTGAAAAGTGTGTGTCGTTTCCTACGTTTTAAAGTACTTTTCATTATTAAGTATAATAATTAATAAATTTTAATCTACTTGGTCGTAAAGATAACATTTATAGTGTCAACGATCACTAAAAGTAAAAAAAAAAAAAAATGAAAGAAAAAGCAAAATAGACAAAGAATTTTGTTTAGAAACTGATAACAATGATAAGAATGATTTAAATTGTGTTCAGATTCTTTTATCGTTTAGAAAATTCTAATCGTCAGTTTAAATCAGTAACTCTCTTGAATGGTAAATTATTTTCCGTCATGGACTTTGTTGTTGATAAAGAAAATAATCGAAAAAAGATTACATTGTCATGGGAAAATGTGACGGTTAGCGTAAATGATCACAAACAAACTTTTCTACAATCTGTTTGGTCTGATATTAGAAGAGGATCGCGTATTAGAAAATTAGAAATATTAAAGAAAGGTAATTGTGAATTAGAAATTTTTTTTCCATTAATTTTACAATTAAAAATGTTAATTGACAAATTATTTGTTCATTAAGTTCGTTTAATAATCAATTAATTACAGTGTCCGGTTATGCAGAAAGTAATAACATGATTGCTATAATGGGACCAAGGTATGTAAGATTAGATTTAGAAAATCAATGTTATTTAGATCGTTAATCAATTGTTTTATTATTATAGTGGCGCCGGAAAGACTACTTTGTTAAGTACGATTGCAAAAAAAATTCAACCGACTTGTGGTAGTATCAAAATTAATGGATTAGATGTTTCCGATATTATTATGTCACAAATTTCGAGTTACATGGATCAATGTAATGCGATGTCTGTTGATCTTACATCTAGAGAACATCTTTTGTTTATGGTATATATACATATATATATATATATATATATATATATATATATTGCATATATATACATTTGATCAAAATTTTTGTTAATTGTCGAAGAAGCTAAATAATAGAAAAGCTTAGATTTTTTTTTCCTCTTTTTTTTTTCTTCTATTTTTTAATAATATTTACAGTGTGCACTAAAAATGGATAAAAACAAGAGTTATCGTGAAAAAAGTGATAGAGCTGACAAACTTTTAAATGAATTTGGATTGCATGAATGTAAAAATAATTTAATAACAAAGTTGTCAGCTGGCGAGAGGAAACGATTATTTTTAATCTCGGAATTAGTTGCTAGACCTAAAATTATTTTTTTAGATGAGCCTACAACAGGTAATTAATATTTTAAATATATTATTTAAAATATTTTGATATAATTTAGAACGTGTATAATTAATAATAAGTGAATCTTTTTAACATACACACACACACACACGTATATATATAGATCTTGATAGTCTCACAGCAATGAACATTGTAGAAATGTTAAAATTAATATCAATTAAGGATACTTTGGTCATTTGCACTATTCATCAGCCAGGAATGGCAATGTATAATTTGTTTACACATATTGTTTTATTGGCTGATGGTAGAAATGTTTTTTCTGGTAGTATTGAAGACGTCAAGCCGTTTTTCGAAAGGTATTAATTTTCTTTTTTTAATTAAAACAATAATAATGTTTATTGGCATTTTTTATTTTAATCAAAATTTTAATTTCAATCAACAAATTTTATATATATATATATATATATATATATATATATATTATATTATATTAGTCTAGGATTCAGATGTCCAGCTAGTATAGATCAATCGGAATATCACATAAGTATTTTGTCTCAACATGATCCAATGAAATCGACCGAAGAACAATCTTTAAAAATATCCGAAGCATTTTTACAATCGTCTTATTACAAATTACCTGCCATTGAGAAAGATTCTAAAGAAAAGATACAAACGAACTTATGCAAGTAATGAAAACGCGTCGATTTTTTTTTTATTTTAAAAATTTCTTCCTCGAAAGATTTGATTTCTTTTTTGATTTTCTTTTTTCCTTTTTTTTTTTATTTTATAGCAAACCAGGACAATTGAAACAACTTTTTTGGTTACTTTGGAGAATTTATAAAAAAAAGAAGAGGACATTTTTTTCTGATAATTTATCATGGATATCTTTCTTGGTAAAAAAAAAAAAAAAAAAAATATGGAAAACAAAAAATTAGATTTTCCATAAAAATTTATCTTTGTTAATTTTTTAATAATAATAATAATAATAATAATAATAATAATTACTATTATTACTATTATTATTATTATTAAATTTTTTTTTTTTTTTTTTAGATATCTATGATCGCTGTAAGTCTATTTTTTTATGGTAATAATACTAATACGCAGAAAGGAATGCAAAATGTTAGAGGAGCATTATACATGATGACGTCTGAAATAATATTTACAGTTGCTTATTCAGTAATATACGAATTACCATTAGATATAATTAATTATCTTCGTGAAACTTCAATCTATGGTCCAGGTGTTTATTACATTGCTACTTTTATTGGATTGGTAACATTATAATAATATTATATCATAATTTCATATAATTTGTTTGTCTTTATAAAAATTCACATATATATATATATATATTTATATATACATATTGAAATTATATTTTCAGATACCAAAATCTATAATGAAATCCTTTATGTTTACATTGTTAATAGTTTTGACATTGCATAATAATATTTATTGGAACGATATTTTATATTATTGTCTTTCAACGACATTAGGTGCTATTTGTGGTACTGCTTATGGTATGATGATGTCAAGTTGGACAATGAATATTAATTTAACGACAATAATTATGGTACCAATCGATATGATTTTTCTTTTAACCGCCGGTATATTTTATAATCTGAGGTGAGTCCATGGATTGATTAATTGATAATTAATAATAATGTGTGAGAAAAATTAAATACTCTTTGAAAGACGATATAAATTGTAACGAATTATTACTTTTTTTTTTTTTTTTTTTTTTTATTCAGAAGTTTACCAACTTATTTGAGATATATAAAATATTTGTCAATATTTTATTACATCAACGAATGTCTCTCAATAATTTATTGGTCTCACGTTGATAAAATTGGTAAGAAATTTTTTATGTATTACTTTTTTTTCTTTTTTTTTTTTTTTTTTTTCCTTTGTGTAATGATGATAACGAAGATTAGAGGAACGTAAACGTGATATTTTAGATTGTGAACTAGGCGAAGGATTACCATGTTTAGAAAATGGAACGGAAGTTTTATATGAGTATGGTTATATTGGGTCGAACTTTATCTTGGATTTATGTGGAATGATAATGTTAACAATCGTCATGTCTATCGTTGGATACCTTGGAGTTAAAAGAACCAGGAGAGTAAGTCTTTTATCTTAAAAGAAAAAACTAGACATATTAGAAAAAGTAAGATAACTAGTATTAGTCAAATATGATGTAATTGGTATAAATTTTACGATTAGAATTAATTTGTTGATTAGGTAGGCAATTGTAAAGATCAAGTTATGCATTAATTTTATTCTTCCCTCTGTATAATTGTTATTATTATTTAATGTTATATTATAAATAATTCATAACGATGATATATATATATATATATATATATATATATATATATAATTTCTAATAAACCGGTGCCTTTTGACTTTTACAACGAAGTATCAAAAAACTGACAAAATGACAGACAAGACATATTATTAAAAGACCTAATAAATCAATGTAATAATGATCGATTATGTAACCATATTTATCAAGAACTTTTAACCCAGTAGAGATGCAAGATATTTCTGGATCTGATAAACAATCTTAAGGAAAATAAAAAAATAGAAAATTAATAAACAATATTATATATATATATTAGAAATAGAAACTTCATTTAATATATACCTATATGATCAATTTTTTTCCATTGCACCAAAGAAACAGCTTCCAAACCATAATAAAATATTGATAAATATCTTAACCATGATATTAGTGGCGATAAGTTTCTAAAAAAATTAGAAAAATATGACAAACATTTCGTAAATTGTGAAAACAACAATAATATCAATAATAATAATAATAATAATAATAATAATAATAATAATAATAATAATAATAATAATAATAATAATAATAATAATAATAATAATAATAATAATAATAATAATAATAATAATAATAATAATAATAATAATAATAATAATAATAATAATAATAATAATAATAATAATAATAATAATAATAATAATAATAATAATAATAATAGTAATAATTGTACTGACCCAAGATGTAAGAAGATGCCAGAATACAAAAGATTTAGGAAATCGATTGGTACGGATACCAAAGAAGCTGTCTCTATTGAATTAAAGGATGCTGACATCAAGAGTCCTGTTGAGATTATAAAGAAAAACAAATGAGTCTTATTATTTCGCTTTACATAAAATAAATCTAGATAATATAATTATAATAAATATATACCAAAAGCGGAAGCAGCAAAGGCACAGAAAATAATTGGTATAATGAAATAAAAAAAATCAAATAATCCACTTTTCAATCCGGTGATAAGATAAATTATTCCGGCATATAAAAATGGTTGAAATATGGTACCTGGAATCTGAACAATTTATAAATCCCAATGATGACTTTGTTAATTTAATATATATATATATATATATATATATATATATATATATATATATGTATATATATATTCTTCTTACAATGAATTAATTATTATTATTATTTTTAATGAATTACCATAATTAGAACTTTACTGATGTAATATGATGTTGGATCGTACAAGGTCGCTGCGATTTCACGCAAAAGTAATGGCAATTCACTTGGGAATGTATAAAAATAGGCGTAATTAAACATGAATATTGTTTCCACTACGATTAGATAAATGAGACCTTGCATATTTTGTATACTACTTTGATCAATTTCCTTAGTTACATTTATGTATGGTAAAGATATAATAATACCTATAAACTTTCATATTGATATCCTTTAAATTTTAGTAGTCAGTAAAAATGATAAATTGAAAAAATTTATAAATCGTAAAATTGAAAAAGAAAATGATAAAAATTAATAATAATAATAAAATTGATCTTTATTTTTTTTTTTCTTTTTAATTTTTTAACTTACCAAATAAAATATAAATCGTAGGAGTATAGAAAAGAAATTTCTCTTGTAATCGATGTAAGTTCGCCAAAGTAGCCATTTGATTTGAGTTAATGTTCTGATCTTTTTAAAATCATTTTTCGATAATACATTATCCGAAAATATTATTGATAAATTATTAATATCTTTAACATATTCGTGGTTATTTCTGATCAAAGATAAAACTTTTTCTCCGTAAATTGATTTTTCATATCGATCACAGATCCATTTCACCTGATTAGAATAGAAATTGTGTTCATTTATAATCTTTTTCTTAATTTCTGATAAATACCAATTGTTTTTACCTTCTTAGAATTGTCATCCTCGTTCTCATGTTTAACAGATAATTGGGACACGTAAAACTCAGCATCATTGTAAGTTGGTGGACAATGTAGATTTAAGCTAATAAAAGTAGATCAAATGATATAGAAAAAGAGAAAAAAAAAAAAGAAAAATAATAATATAAATAATATTATTTTTAGGATATACCTATCAAAGAAATTTTTAGCGTCGGTTATTGAGCCTTGAAAGGCAACTCGACTGGCGGATATTAATAAAAGCTGATGAAAAATGTCGAGTAAACCTGAAGCTGGTTGATGTATAGAACAGATAACTATTTTACCCCTTGTAGCAACGTCATGAAGAGTTTTCACTATTGTCATGGCTGCATAACTGTCAAGACCTGTCGTAGGTTCATCGCAAAAGAGAATACTGGGCTCTGTCAATAACTATGACAAAACAAATTTCTTATAGAAGTGATTTTTAAAAGATATATATATATATATGTATATATGTGTAGAAAAATTTTTCAAAATTAATTCTCAAAAGGTTTGAAATTAGCCTTCTTCTTACTTGTACTGCCAAGGACATTCTCTTCCTTTCACCACCAGACAATGCTGACAATTTTGAATTAACACAATTGATCAATGTCAATTCCGTCGAAAGTGCAGATATTCTTAATTTTCTTAAACCTGCATGATACCTTCGATCCATCTTCATACATGCCTAATTCGAAAAATAAGAAATCTCTTATAATAGCGTTAATCCGATCGAACAAGAACTATTAACAAAACTGACCATAAATTCCATGTGTTCCTGAACGGTCAATGATTCAACAACAAGATCCTGTTGAGGCACATAACCAGATATTTGAATCATTTCTTTCTTGTTAATTGATCTCCCGTTCAATAAAATTTCACCCTCGATTTCGCCTAATGACAATAGTAATAATAATAATAATAGTAAGATTGGTAATAATAATAATAATAATAATAATAATAATAATAATAATAATAATAATAATAATAATAATAATAATAATAATAATAATAATAATAATAATAATAATAATAATAATAATAATAATAATAATAATAATAATAATAATAATAATAATAATAATAATAATAGTAATAGTAATAATAATAATAATAATAAAGAAAGTTGTTGTATGTTTTTCTTTTTACAAAATATTGTAAGATAAATTATAAAAATAATGAAAACCTTTTATTCGTTGGCTTAACGTCGCAAGAAGAGTTGTTTTTCCAGCTCCGCTATAAAATACAATTTGTTCTGTTTCATTATTGTAAAATAATCTTAATAGATTCTTAAAGATTGCTTGATTCTTACCTCGGACCCATGATAGCCATCAATGTTCCAGATTGAATAATACCATTTACTAGAAAAATATTTTATATACATATATTGATACAAATGATTTTTATTATTTTTATTATTATTAATTATTTGTTAAAATTGTTAATACCTCCATTCAAAATACGAATATATTCGCATCTGTCTAATCCGAGGAAACTCTTTAAGTAATTTTGATTTATTTTCTTTTTCACGGCGAAAGATATATTTTTCCACATCAAATTGAAGTTTTTTTCAGAATTTTCTGATGCACTCGAATACTTGATTTTAGTTTGCATCTGCAAAAAAAAAATTGTTCACGCTGATGCAAAATCAGACTCGTTTTTCGATCTACATATAAGCAGGACAATTCATAATAAAAAATTCACATAAAATGTGAACGTTTCGTAGCGATTTATACGTAATGCACGTAGTATAATAATTATAAAAAAGATTTAATTGTAGAGGTAATTAATAGAAATGTTTATAAAAATTCTCAGGAATTTAGTATACTTGAGATAATCTAATAAATTAATCTTATGAAGTTATATAAAGTACTGGTTCGATATGATATTAATCAATGCTATGTGATCTCCGTAACTATTCTAATGAGGTTTACATAAGGAAAATAATTTCAATAGGAATAGGCGTTTCTGATGACTGATAATGACGACAATGACGACAACGATGACGATGATAATGAAGAAATGATGATGATGATGATGATGATGATGATGATAATAATAATAATAATGAAGAAGACTTACTTTAATGTTCTAATCGTTGAACGAACAGCAAAATATAAAAGATCAATTGATGAGATGTCCTGTTCAATTTTGACTTCCGATTGTTTTTTGTTCGAAAACAAAAAGGAAGCTAAAAATTTAAAATAAATAAATAAATAAAAACGAAGGTTGAACAAGTCCGACACAATGAAGATGATTATTCCAATGATTTCACTGTTAAGATAAGACTTATAAAATTATAAAGACAGGACGAACGTGTTAGAAGGATAATCAAAAGGCAAATGTGTAATTCAAGACTGCGTATGTATGTATTATACGTTCACCAGCTAATTTGCGATATTGCAAGGAAAAAGATGAAGGAGAGAGTTATCTATAACTTAGTGGGTTGTAAAGCGTTATGCAACAAACTTGCAGCTCTATGATACGTGAAAAATTAATCGAATGTAGAAAAATATATAAGTATATAAATAGAACATGCAATTAGTATGTAAATTATTTATTATATGTAATCCATGGATTATAAATTAGTTTTATTTTTATTAAATAATTTTTCAGTTCATTCGTTTGCACGCCTGATCTAATAAAATTGATATTTATAGAAAATTGGAATTTTAAAAGATTTCTATTGTGATCTAATTATCTCAGACGACTGAGATTAGATTGGAAGAAGAACGTATTCTCATTGTCTTAATAAAAATTTATCAATATTAATTTTCATATATGTAAGTCAATTTGGAAAAGAGAAAGAAAAAAATAAGTATCATTATTTTAATTATAGTTAATTATAGTGTTTAGTTCAGTATGAATTATCGGATTATCGTCGATTAGATCCAACGAAAATATATTAATAAATATAAAATAAATATATATAACTAATATTAATTAATATATTAAATAATAAAATATATTAATTAATCCGTCGATATAATAAATTTTTATTAAAGAACTTTGATAAGAATGGATAGGTTGTTTAAAAAAAATTTTTTTAATATTTAAATCTAATTCGACATGAAATTAAATAAATAATAACATAGGATAAAATAGAATATTCTTATATAATAAAATAGAATATTGAATGCAATATGTTGCAAGTGAGCAAGATTTTAGATAAAACAGATACAATTCTTCGAGTTCAATGAGAGAGAATGATGTTGAGAATGATTAGGGGGAAAAAATAATTAAGGGAAGGCAGAAGAGGGTACAAATATGGAAGATTGCGATGATGATAAGACGATAGAAATTATTTAGACGATTTGTTGTGATTACACGATAATAGTTAGCGAAGGTTAAACGAAATAATGTTTACGTTTACGTTTCCAAAGATTTTAGTTTGACTCCTTTTTTTTTTCTCTCTTACACTTTCTCTCTCTCTATCTCTCCTTCACTCTCTTTCTCTATTTCTCTTATATTCATCCTCACTTTAATCATCACATATCTCTCATTTCCACGACACAACAGGAAGGAAACAAAAAGGATTCTGTTAAGGAGAATATATATATATACGTACTTAATATCGTTTCAAATATAACCGATGTTTAGTTGTACCTAATACATAGTACAGTTTTAATCGTTATCGTGTCTCGTGTCTCTTGTAATTAGAAAATTGTTTATGATATATTTTATAACATTAACGTATGAAAACATTTATTATTATTATTATTGTTATTATTATATTTATTTTGTATAAGGGTGCTTATCTCTCTCTCATCATCATCATCATCATCATCATCATCATCATCATCATTATTATTATTATTATTATTATTATTATTATTATCATTATTAATTTACTTGTCCTATTGTCTCTATATTATTATACTTTTATAATTATTTCCAGTTATTATTTGACAAAATGAATCCAGCGTTACCGTTGCCATCATCATCAGCACATATTGCACGAACGAATCAAAAATCTTGGACGGATGAAGAGGATATGTTTTTATTCATCCTTATAAAGAATCGTTTCGAAATAATCAACCCTACATCCAATGCAGAAACGAAGGCACAGTTATGGATAGAAGTGGAAGAACGTTTAAATAAAAAATACAAAAAAAAGAGAGAAATAAACTGCATTAAGGAACGTTGGGAAAAGTTGAAGAGTTTGGCAAAACTCGATGTTTATACGTTCCTATCGAAGGTTAAATTAAAATAATATATACAGACGTGTATATATGTGTTTGAAAATGTTTGAAAAAGGGACAAAAAAAAAAAGGAAACAATCTTTGTAAACAAACTTTCAAACATCCATCCTTCGTTTCGGTTGGAAAATTTGGAAATATTTCTTTCTTTTTCTTTTTAATTACTTTTTTCTCTTTCTTTCTTTTTTTTCCCCTTTTTTCTTTTTATTAACTTTTCTTTATTTTCATCTCTCTCTCTCTCTCTCTCTCTCTCTCTCTTTTTTCCTCTTCTTCTTTCTTTTCTCTCTACAATCTCTATCTAATATATTTCAGATCGAAAGAAAGTTACCACGTAACACGAACTATCGTCCATCGAATTTCAATCTGCAAATTTGGAAATTGTTAAAGCCCCATAAGATGAAGGAAGGGGAGTCCGATGATGCGAACGAGTATATCACATACATATCCAGTTTCGAATTTCCCGATGACATTAATACATTATTGGACAATTTAATAAGAATGAGCGATATCGTGTTCGATCCAAATTTTTTTAGTTCGTCTTCCTCCAATATATCGGAAAGAAGTCGTAGCCTAAGTCCTCCAAGAACGATGTCCCCTGTAGTCAATACATCGTATAGATCTAGATCAGTCCAACCTGCGGTCAATAGTTATATCACATACGAAGATTTGACATTATTATCCGATGAAGAAAACGAAACACGTAGAATTTCGAGAATGGAAACAAGAAGATCATTGTTATCAGGTCTAAGATCATTGTCGATTGATCAAGTACCAGAAAGAATATTATCAATGAACACATCATGGGAGTCAAATCTACGTAATGGTAATCATAATGATAATAATAATAATAATAATAATAATAATAATAATAATAATAATAATAATACTAATAATAATAACAATAATAATCGCTTAGAATGTGCATACACATCATTTCTTATATCGATTATTCTTCCTTCACATTAGTTTTCCTTTTTTTTTTTCATTTCTTTTTTTTTTTTTTTTTTTTTTTTTCATTCATTCTTTCATTTCTATTCTTTCTTGTTCCCTAATATATATATATATTTTTTTTTGTTCTTTATTTTTCTTTCTTTTTTGTCCTCTTTATATTTTAATTTTTTATTTATTTTTTCTTTTTTTTAAGTATCATCGTTTTATCCCAGCGATAGATGGATAAACTTAATACAATTTGATCTAAAGAAAGAAGATCCTACAGGAGCGACCGATGAGTTCGAAAAAGAAATGTATCGACCAAAGACATCGAGGACCGAACCATCGAGGACTGCACCATCGAGCAGCCAACATCCGAGGGCCGAACCATCGAGTATCGAACCATCGGGGGCCGGACCATCGAGAACCGAATCATCAAGGACCGAACCATCGAGGACGGAACCATCGAGGACCGAACCATCGAGAATCGAACCATCGAGAATCGAACCATCGAATATCGAACCATCGAGGACCGAACCATCGTGGGCTAAACCAATAGGTATCGAACTATTTCCACAAGATGGTAATAATAATAATAATAATAATAATAATAGTAATAATAATAACAGTAATAATAATAATAATAATAATAATATTAATAATAATAATAATAATAATATCTTAGATATTATAATTTTTTCTTATATTTACATTTTTCTAATTTTTCTTGCAAGCACAATCGTTACACCATGAAGATGCATCGGTTCACCTGAAAGAATTTAATATAAGAACGTCTGACGATAGTAACGAAGAAAGATCATCCCAGAGAGCAAGGTGTGCCGAATTAAAAATCGAACCAGATCGATCTACTGGTAATAATAATAATAATAATAATAATAATAATAATAATAATAATAATAATAATAATAATAGGAATACTAGTCGTTGAAAAAATATATATATTTTTCGTACACTCAATTATTCCTTCAAATTCGTTTCTATATTTTTTTTTTTCTTCATTTATTCTTCTCTCTCTTTCTCTCTCTCTCTTTCTCTTTCTTTCTTTTTTGTTCTCTTTCTTTCTCTTTGTTTCCATTACACATATCATCATTTCCATTCTACTAATTTTTTTTCTACAAGTACAATCGTCTCACCCCGGCGAGAAACAGGTTAAAATAAAAGAATCTGAATTAGTAAAATCGAGCGATGAAAGGAAAAGAAAAAAAAGCACCAGTACGATGGGGTGAACCAATTCATCACACTGCTGGTAATAATAATAATAATAATAATAATAATAATAATAATAACAATAATAATTGCTTGGAAAGTACTTAAACACGTTTCTAATTTATCGATTAGTTCTGTTACATTTCTTTCTTTTATTTTTCTTTTTCTTTCTCTTTTACTTTGATTCCTTACATATCGTCTTTATTTTTCTTTTAACATTTTTATTTTTCTATCTTCCTTTTTTTCCAAGATCAACTGTCTAGTTCCAACATTACGTGGGCTGTATTAAGAGAATCTCATATAACAATGGTTGATAATCCTATTGAAGAAAGAGGGGCGCAATCGCAACCTAGGATCGAACCAACTGATCAATCTAATAGTAATAATAATAATAATAATAATAATAATAATAATAATAATAATAATAATAGTAATAGTAATAATAATAGTAATAGTAATAATAATAGTAATAATAATAATAATAATAGTAATAGTAATAGTAATAATAATAATAATAATAATAATAATAATTGTTTAGAGAGTACTAAAACACATATCGTTTCTTGTTTTCTTTTAACATTTTTATTTTTCTATCTTCCTTTTTTTTTGCAAGATCAACTGTCTAGTTCCAACATTACGTGGGTTGTATTAAAAGAATCTCATATGACAACGGTTGATGATCCTAATGAAGAAAGAGGAGCACAATCGCAACTGAGAACCGAACCAACTAATCAATCTAATAGTAATAATAATAATAATAATAATAATAATAATAATAAAAATAATTGTTTGGAGAGTACTAAAACAAATTTCTCGTATATTAATTGTTCTTCCTACACGTTTGTCTCTATTTTTTACTTTTTATATATCTTTCACTTTTATTTTGCCTTTGTTTTTTTATACATTTTCGTTCTTTTTTTTTTCTTTTTTTACATTTGAATTTTCTATTTATTTATTTATTTATTTATTTAATTTCTTTTTATTTTCTTTTTCTTTTTCTTTCAAGGACAATGGTTTTATTCAAATGAGAAATGGATACATTTAAAAGAATCCAATGTAACATCGATGGATGATAATAGCGAAAAACGAGCATCATCAATATTATCAGAGAACGAACCAGTTCATCGATCTGATGGTAATAATAATAATAATAATAATAATAATAATAATAATAATAATAATAATAGTAATAATAATAATCTCTTAAGAAGTACATATGTACACGTTTTTTTGTAGATTGTCCTTCGACGTTTGTGTTTTCTATTCTTTTTTCTTCTTCTTGCCCCCTTTTTTATTTTTTATTTTATTTCACCTTTTTTATTTTCATTGTTCCCTTATATATATTTTCAATCGTTTTTATATTTTTATTCTTTTATCTTTTTCTTGTCAAGCACGATTCCTTTCAACTAGCGATAAAACGAAAGAATCTGATATAAGAACGAGAGATGATAATGAAACAAGACAAATACAAAGAACACAGTGGAACGAATCAAATCAACAATTTGGTAATAATAGTAATAATAATAATAATAATAATAATAATAATAATAATAATAATAATAATAATAATAATAATAATAATAATAGTAATAGTAATAATAATAATGATAGTAATTATTCACCTAATACGTATATCGATTTTTTCTTTCGCATTGGCTTCTATCTTTTACTTCTTCTTTTATTTCTCCTTTTCTTTCATTTTTTTTTAATTACAGTTTTTATTCCTCTATTTTTTCCTTTTTTTTTTTAATTTTATTTTATATTTTGAAGTACAATCACTTTATCCCAACGAAAGATGGATTAGATTAAAAGAAACTGATAAATCAACGAGCGATGATAGTGGAGAAGAAAGAAGAATCCGCGCCATACAGAGGAACGAATTATTATTTCAATCTGATGGTAATAATAATAATAATCATAATAATAATAATAATAATAATAATAATAATAATAATAATAATAATAATAATAATAATAATAATAATAATAATAATGGCTTAAAAAATACATTAATAGATTTTTGGTTTAAACTGATTGTTTTTATCTACGCGTTTATTTCTAATTTTTTCTTTCATTTAGTTTTTGATTTTTTTTTTTTTTTTGATTCTTTGAAAAAGCATTCTTTCTTTGTAATATATATATATATATATATATATATATATATATATATATATATATACATTTTTTTCTCTACATTTCATTTTTGGAATTCTTGTTATCCTTTATTTTTTTTTTTTACTTTTGAAGTAGCAGTGTTCCATTCTCCCAGTAAACGGATTAAATTAAAAGAAGTAGAAGAACAAGATTCATCAATATTGAAGGATAATGTAAGAGAAAGAAGAACATCACAAGAAATGAAAATTCATCCAGCCCTGCTTAGTGGTGGTAATAATAATAATAATAATAATAATCGTTTAAAAACTACTTACATATACATAATTTTTATACTAATCGTTCAAATTTGCTTCTATATTTTTTTTTCTTTTTTTTTTTTTTTCATTCTTTTATCTTCATTCTTCTTTACTACCTTATATATTTTCATCTTTCCTTTTTTCTGCTTTTTCATTTTTTAATCTTGTTCTTTTTTTCTTTTTTTTTTTTTTTAAGTAAAACCATTTAAACCCATCAATAACTGGATTGAATTAAGTGAAACCGATGTAAGGACAGATTCTTCAGAATCGAGCGAATATATCAGAGAAGTAAGAGAAACATTCAGAATCGACCCATCCTCGTATACTGATGGTAATAATATTAACAATATAATATTAATAATAATAATAATATAATTCTAATAATAATAATTTTTTAGAAAGTGCATACACACACTTTCTATGCTGATTGTTCATCCACATTTGTTTCTATTATGTTTTTTTTTCTCATTCTTTTATCTTTATTTTTTCTTTGTTAACTTATATATTTTCATTTTTATTTGATCGTTTGTTTATTTTGTTTTTTTCCTTTTCTTCTTTTTTCTTATTTTTTTTTTTTTTTTTTTTTTTTTTTTTTTTTTTTTTTTTTTATAAGCACAATCCACCGATAAATGGTTTAAATATAAAGAATCTAATGTAAAAACGAGCGACGATAGTTCCGAAGAGAAAACAACATCCACAACATCAAGGACAGAATCAATTTTTTACTCTGATGGTAATAACTAATAACTAATAATAATAATAATAACAATAATCGCTTACGAAGTGCGCGCACACTAACATTCGTTGTCCATCGATTTTATTTTCTTCATTTATTTTTATTTTTCCCTTTCTCGCTCATACATTTTCTTTCATTTCTGCCTCTTTATTTATATATATATATATATATATATATATATATATGTGTTTATTTATTTATTTTTCTTTTTAAATAGATTCATGCGTTTCCGAAGCATGGGTTACAATAAGAGCACCCGATGGATCGATAGAAGCAATTCCTATGAATTCGGCCCATATTGTAACTGAAAAAGTTCAAAGAGTACCAAAGAACAATTTATCTACTCGAACTAGTGGTAAAAATAAACAGATAATAATAATAATAATAATAATAATAATAATAATCTCTTACAAAGTACACTCACACATGTTTATCAAATGGTTCTGTCACTTTTGGTTCTATACTTTCCTTCTTTTTTTTTTTTTTTCCCCCTTTTTATTAAATACAACCGCATTACCCCGAATCATGGCTTAGGATAAAAGAATTTCTTATAAAGGAAAAAAAAGAATCAAGGAGGTCTTTATCAAGCCCACCTCATGGTAATAATAATAATAATAATAATAATAATTATAATAATAATCTCTCTATAAAGTACATACATACATAAACTCATGTGTTTTTCTTATATTGATTGTTCTTTTACGTTTGTTTTTATTTCTTATTTTTTTTTTTCGGTTTTTCTATTTTTTTTTTTTTTTTTTCTTTTTTTTTTCCATTATCAAGTACAATCGTATCACCCGGTACCACAGCCTAGAACAAGAAAGTCTATTATAAAGGAACCAGATGTATTTATGAAACCGGCCGGTAGTGATATTAGACCAACACCAAGGGCTTTACCAAGGTTACCTCGTGGTAATAATAATTATCCTTTTTACAAAGTAAATACATACGTGTATACATACACATATAACCCCCTTTTATACTAATTGATTTTCACGTTTTTTTCTATTTCACGTGTGTGTGTGTGTGTGTGTTTGTGTACGCGCGTTTTTTTTTCTTTTTCTTCCTTGCTTTATTTTTATATTTACTTTTTTGATATGAAATAGATATTCCTGCGAGAACAATCGATAGTGATGTAGAAGTAAGACCAGGACCTTCATCAGCAAGAAAATTTGTGAGCCCACCTCGTGGTAATAATAATAATAATAATAATCCCTTAACAAAGTTAAATTAGTTAATACCTTAACTAATGCGTTTCTCTTATACAGATTACTTCCCTTCACGTTTGTTCTAATTTGTTCTCTTTTTATTTTATTTTATTGTATTTTATTTTATTTTATCCTAATTTTTTTTTTAATTATTATTTTGATACTTTTTTTATTTCATTCTTTTTTTCTTTTCTTTTCCTTTCTATTTCAAGTACAACCGTACTATCCGGATTCGTGGATTAGAATAAGAGAATCTCCTGCTAGGAATAGAGGAACTAGAAGGACCGATAGTGAAGTCGAAGTAAAACCACCACGAAGGCGCTTACCAAACATACCTGATGGTAATAATAATAATCCCTTTAAAAAAAAATATATATATATATAAGTACGTACACATTATTATTACTTTTATTTGATACATCTATTTTTTTTTCTTTTTTTTTCTTTTTTCATTTAAGTACAACCATATTATCCGGAATTGTCGACTAGAATGATGGAACCTTCTATAAGAGAAAGAAATATAAGATCGTCCATGAATGAATCCGAAATAAGATCGTCGAGGAACTTATCAACTGAACATCGTGGTAATAATAGTGATAATCTTAACTTACGATATAAATAAATAAGTACGTATACCGCGTGTTACAGAGGGATGGAGAGATAGAAAGAGATAGACATAGAGATAGAAATAGAGAAATAAAAATAGAGAAATAAAAATAGAGAGATAGAAATAGAGAGATAGTGAGAGAGAGAGAGAGAGAGAGAGAGAAAACTATCAGGAATATTTCGTTTGGTTCAAACTGATCGCGTGCAACGAGATGTCGAATATTTTGACTTGTACCCCCTACTTTATGTCGATGCAAATCTATTCCCATTTACGGCGAGTAGATTTTTGTCTTTGTTATAGAGTTATACGATGATAATGATGATAATAATAATAATAATAAACGTACGCTATGGAATATCGAATAGTTCTCGCGATGACATCATCTATTCCTCAAATTTGTTGCTTTAATACGAATGATGCATTATTCTCTTCGATGACGATGCAGTATACGTACACACGTACATACAATATATGCATATTTCTCGTATATTGACATTCCTTTTGTTGTTTTATTTGTTTTTTTGTTTAATTTTTTCTTTTTTCCTTTAAGTACTTTTCTCGGATAAACAAATTAGAATAAGAGAACCTGATATAAGGGAAAGATCACCTATGAGACAAACTAGTAGTTTTACTGACTCAAGATCATCGACGAGGGCCGAAGCAGGCCGACATGATGGTAATAATAATAATAATAATAATAATAATAATAATAATAATAATAATAATAATAATAATAATAATAATAATAATAATGATAATAGTAATATTAATGGTAATAGTAACAATAATCACTTACACATAAAACATAACATATAACATTTCTCATATATTGTTACTCCATATTTGTTTTTCATTTTTCATTTTCTTATCTTTTCTTTTTATACTTTCCTTTGTTTCCTTAAATATATATATATATTTTTTTGTTTTTCTTTCTTTTTTTATATTTGTATTGTCTTTTCATTTTTTTTCTTTTAACTTTTTCCTTTTTCAGTACGTTTTAATAGAAGAAGGGAGGCCGATATAAGAGAAGATGATCATTTTGTTAGAACAGATTATCATTCGCAACAATTCACGGAAGAAATTTTCGCCGAGGAAGAACATTTAAGAAGATTAAATGTATTGAGAGCCCAGGAGAGCGATGTATTTTTATTAGAAAACGAACTTCTAGAAAATCAAATCTATATTCAACGAATGGAAAGCAATCTCGAAACGATACAAATGCGAAAACGAGTTGCTTTGAGCGAATATAAAATGGCGGAACTGAAGGAGATGATGGTCGAGATGAATATAAACGATTACAAAAGGTTAATTCTTTTTCTTTTTTCTTTTTCTTTCTTTTTTCTTTTTCTTTCTTCTTTCTTCTTTTTTTTTATCTCCTTTATTTTTATTCTTAATAACAGAGTAACGATATGAAAATAAAAATACGCACTATACTTATGTGTGTATATATAATGTGTGCACGGATATATGTGTGTGTATATATACATATATAGATTGACCAGAGTAAGGATGTATATATAGATAGCTGAATAAATGTTTGCCGGTACGTTCAGCGCCGCCATCGGGTATTTTTTGAACTAATCACTAGAAAGTAATGAAAATTTTTCCCACAAGGTTTCATTTCATTAAAATCGATTTGTTTTGAGGGATTGTTCGATAGTGCAAACGAGAAGTAATACGCGTTGAGATAAGTCAGACGTAATATTTGTCAAGTATTAATTTAAAAGTTAGAACATTGTTAAATATGCAACGAATCATTACTAGATTTTCGCGGAATATTTCTGCTTCCAGGTATATAAAAAAATATTTCTTAAATAATATCTAATAATTATTGATTTTGTCAGAAATGTTTTTTCGAACAGTTCGAAAAGAAATTTTTCCTTTTTCTTTTTCATTAACGTGCATGTACCTATAACCTTCAGAACCATTATTTTAAACATAATTTTCATATTATTTTCTTATTTCCCTTGAGGTAAATGAAATGATTTTACCTATTAATGAAATATTATGTAATGTATATATGCGGTGTGTGTATGTGTGTATATATATATATATATAGGAAGAGAAAAATTCCATTTGACCTTAAATGTGTTTGTGACATTGTAACCTATATTTAGGAATATGTTTATTATCAAATGTTTTTATTTGTGACATTGTAATTTAATTTTAGGAATATGTTTATTATCAAATGTTTATGTTTGTGACATTGTAATTTATATATAAGAATATGTTTACTCTCAAATGTTTCTTTGTCACATTCTAATCTATATTTATGAATACGTTCATTGCCAAATGTTTGTCTATGCTTCTACTTTTCTATTTAAATAACTTTGAATCTAATTAAAGATTGAATTTGATCCAACTATAGATTTCTAATTTATTTTTAACATTGTAGTAAAAAATATTTACTACTTCTCTACTGGTGTTTCTATTTTCATTTTGATGACAATTAATTCTGACTATTAAGTCATAGTTGTACCTAATAAACAACTAAGTTCTATGTGATTAAGTTATTAAATAAGAATGGTTCTTGATTCATATCCTTACGATATTGTTGTGGATATATTTTCAAGATTCAAAACAAAAGATTATACAAAATATTTGATTTCAGTCAAGCGAGAATGAGTGGCGAGCCTGGTTCTGGTGCAAACAGAGGCACTGGCGGTGCTGGTTCTATCCGAGCAGCTGGAGGGGCTTTTGGACAAATGGAAATTGCTCATGAAGAACAATTCTTTTATAATCAGGTCTGTTAAACAATGGAAGTAAAATCTGATATGTTCTTAAGAAAATTCCAATATTGTATTATGATAGATTTATTTGCCAGATTCGTACGTTAAAAAAAAAAAAAAAAAAAAGGAAAAACATAAATTTGCCTTTTCTTCTTATTTTAGCAAAGGGAACAGATAAGAAAGTTGAGAGAAGGTATTCGCGACGAAATTGCTTTTCATGAGGAACAAATCCGCCGTCATCAAGAAGCTATTGAACGTCATAATGCAAGAATGTCTGAAATACATAATCCTCCTGAAGAACAATAAATATATTGCCGTCTATATTTACAAGCTTCTTTATAAAGGGACGCAGCTAATATTACATCATGTATAGATTTATGTATATAAATATATACTTATATTTTTATACATAATGTAAATAATTATGTATAAAATATAAGTATGTATTTATATACATAATGTGTATAATTATATATATATATAAATATATATATATAAGTATATATTTATAAATGATGTTAAGATTTAGTATGATCACTAGAATATCAAGAATTTTCTTCTTTTTTCTATACCAGATTCAATAGTTTTTATTAATTATTTTTAATGAACTTGGCTTTATCGATAATTATTGAATATTAAGAGAAATGATCTTGGCAGTATGTTATCAATAGTTAACAGATTTATCTGAAAAAATTGCTATATTCAATAGATTTGTATATATTTTCAAATAATATGCTAATATATTCAATTTTCAAACAATAATCTAACAAATAATGTAACAGACACAGTAATTATTTGAAATAAAAGCCATTATAACGCAGAATGTTTTTAAATATTTGAAATTTAACCAAAATGGAAAATGATTGTTAAATCGATATAATAAATTTCATTTGTTTCTGAAAGATTAATAAGTTCAAAGTTGATAATAATCGAACATAGATTTCTTTGATACCTCAAATATAATTATTTATGGTCTATTGTATTTTAAATCTGAAGTTCGAAGTAAAATAATCAATTTAATTAATTTAATATGTTTCGTTACATTGGTAAAGTAATAAGTCCACCAATTTATAGGTAATTAATAATTTGTCTAATGGATATATTTAATGATTGGAATCGATAATATATTAAGGTTAGAAAAAAAAATTACTTTTACAACATCAGTGAAATAATATTTGTTTGCCAATTATAGATATTTTAATACAGAAAACAATGCTTTAAATAAGAATAATAAATTGTTGGATGAAAATTTAGCATACGAAACAGAATATTATTATAAAAAGGTAAACGACAATGTCATATGATTAACGACGCTTTTAAACATTTCTTTTTCACGACCATTATAATAAATAATATCGAGAGAGAATATTATATAATCTTTTTATCGATTATTCAGGATAAAGAATTATTAGAGATAATCAAACGAAAAACGCAAAACGAAGTTAAAAACTTGCAAAAGGAGGTTAACATAATGCGTAATAAAATCGAAGAATACAATCGAGATATCAATGAAAATCTTAGATTTTTACAAAACTTAGAAAAAAATACGACATCATGTAAGAAGGAAGATACTTAAAAATTTTTATTTAAAAAAAAAATAATTGAATTTCATTACATACATACATATATATACAAATATATATATAAATTTATTTATTTTTTGAAAGATTGAAATAAAAAAAAATTTTGAATTTACCGCACTACTATGACCGACAGTTTCGTAGCTTCGATTAAAGACCGCGATGGCGCTACGATCTCATGGAACGCGAAGAATAGAACTAACGCGAGCCGCGTGATGGCGCACCAATCGTTAAAAATGGCGATCACCGGAGAACGATGAAAGCGGATCGATCGTCGCGCCCTCAGTGTCTCGCGATTCATCGATCAGTGTGGTGTGTGTCGCGTTGTTGCTCCCTTCGGCTTTTCGTAGCTTCCTTTTTCTGGCTGCGACGTACGCGGCGGCTCCAAATCGTACTTTATCCGTCTTCGTGAAAACGGCGTTACTGCTGCAGGCTCGACAGGAGCCTACCTGAAAACACATAGAAAAAATGAGACGAAGGATATTGTGGATTCTGGTTAGCACGGCCGTCATTCTCACGGAATGCAACGCCGCTACGGAGGTAGGAGAACGATCATACCGTTTTCTCTCTCTCTCTCTTTCTCTTCCCCTTTCTCTTTTTCTCTTTTCTTTTTTTTTTTCTTTTAATACCACTTTCTATCCTAATATTATAATTTCTTTTACGTCGTTTCAGCTTTTTTCTTTTTTCCCCCTCACTCCTTGTTTCAATCATACCTTTTTGTCAATTTCATTCGTTAAACGTTCGTTTTATTTTCGAGGACTATATTACGTAAAGTCCAATAATATTCTTATTAATATATACGTTATATAGATATATAATGTCCCATCGAAATCCTACCCTTATCGTAGGACGAAATCCTAACTTATAGGACAAAGGACTTTTAGGACGATAGGGGAAAGGAGAGAAATGGAGAAGAAAGCGAGACGTTTTGAACATTTACTTAACAAACTATGGATACACTTTTTAGGATAGATAGATAGATAGATAATATGTATATATGTATATATATGTGTGTGTAAAGAGCCGTAAGATATTCGGCGTCTCGCGCGATTTCTTCGTTGCTTTGCACGTTGCCCTGGCCTGGCCTAAAGTGAGGGGTGGGGGGACTTTCTCTCTCTCTCTCTCTCTCTCTCTCTCTCTCTCTCTCTCTCTCTCTCTCTCTCGATCCTTTGCTTTGGATGGTACGAGCCTCGTGTGCACGCGGACACTGTGGCACGCGCGCAACGCATCTTTCTTTCTTCCTCTCTTTCTCTCATTCTCATTCTCATTCTCATTTTCATTCTCTTTTTTTTTTTTCTTTTCTTTTTATCTCATTTAAATTTCTTACGCGTTACGCGCGTGTGGTCTTACGTTTTACCTGAGGGTGAAGCCGCGGACTCCAAACGGGAGTTAGAAAATGGCGACGGGGCCGACGACGAACCGATCTTCGGCTCATTTCGTCGATCCTCGTCTCGTCCTTTCTCTCTCCCTCTTTCCTCTTACCTCCTTCTCTCTTTCTCTCTCTCTCTCTCTCTCTTTTTCTTTTTCTTTCCTTCCTCTTTCTCTCTCCTTCTCTCTCTCTCTCTCTCTCTCTCTCTCTCTCTCTCTCTCTCTCTCTTTCTCTTTCTCTTTCTCTCTCTTTCTCTCTCTCATCTCTTCTTAATTTCATATATCCTTTATTTCGTATTTTATATTTTGATTTTTTTTTTTTTTTATTTTTTTTGTAACTTCCATTCTCATATTCCTTTTTATTATTTATTTTTGATAACGTTCGGCGAAGTACGTGACGTCGAGGTCGAAATAAACGAGTAAACAATGATAAATACACGATCGTAATTGTATATGTATGATATGCACGTATATTATTCATGATGATTGGACACGAAGAATCACGTTTTGATTTAAAATAACAAAAAAAAAAAAAAAATAAAAAAAAATAATTACGTGTCCTAAGTTAATTTGCTAACGATCATCTTTATACGGACCACGATCTGTCGTTAATTCCTTGTTATCCTTATAAGAGATATTTATTTCTTTTATATTTATATCATAAGAGATAACACACGATGTTTCTCATATATATGAGAAACTCGACCTTGATTAGAGATATACCAAGTCGACCTCGATGACCATCTTGTACGTAGTTGATGCAACCTGGAAAGTGTTACTGTTTTGAAATTAGAACTCGGATATACTCGACGAGTTTCTCGCAAGATAATCTCCTTATTTGGGGTTATACTCGTACGATATCATTATACGAAGAAATTCTACGAATTTTTATAATAATCAATCGCATGACCAAAAAAATTTTAGTCTTGACACGATCCTATATGCCATATATGGCTTAAAACTAACAATTCCATTTTTATATACGATTATTATATTCTCATTTATCGTCAATTTTGTTTTGTTTGTATCCTCTGTGTATGTCCCCGTGTACGTGCGTTTTTTTTTTTTTTTGCTTTCCCTCTGAAAATAATTTCAATTCGGCGAGAAATTCAAACGTAAGGAATCAGATTTTCTCGCACTCTTTATGCTATTATTATTATTATTAATTTTTAATTTTTAATTATTATTATAGCGATCATTTACATGTAAAAGAAAAATGGAATCACGATACACGATATTATATATATATATATATATATATATATATATATATATTATTATTATTATTATTATTATTATTATTATTATTATTATTATTATTATTAAGGATTTCATTCTCAAATAGAAAATCGTTATCATTTATTGTTCATTATTGTATTATCCTTTTTAGTTTTCCCACTTCCAGAAAATAATTTAAATTCAGCCTGGAAATTGATACGTGACAAGTTAAATTTTCTCACACTCGTTATATCATTATTAATATTATTATTATCATTATCATTATTATCATTATCATTATCATTATTATCTCATTAAGTAGTTGGATATACGGTGACGATCAATTGCGCATTGTTATATGAGAGTAAGGATATACTCAACGATGATCTTACAAGATGATGGACGAAGAGAGAGAGAGAGACGAAAAATAAAAAAAAAGAAGAAAGAGAGAGAGAGAGAGAGAGAGAGAGAGAGAGAGAGAGAGAGAGAGAGAGAGAGAGTGAGAGAATTTCTGTAAGCGCGTTTCTAACGGTAATGTACGAGACAAGGAAAAGAGTCATACGAAGTCAAGACGACGAGCCACCAACGATGTTTTCTTTGATACGCGCACACATATACATACATACATCGACCCATCCATCCATACATACATTTATACATATATATATATATGCAGAGAGAGAGAGAGATAAATGCGTATACGGTATACAGTAGACATTATTTTCAGGGAGCACGATTTGTTTTGACGAGTGGCTAACGAGTCTGTCTCCTGCATATCCGACTTGCATATATATACATATATGAAAGTCTCGTTTATGTACATCCGTCTCTCTCTCTCTCTCTCTCTCTCTCTCTCTCTCTCTCTCTCTCTCTCTCTCTCTCTCTCTCTCTCTCTCTCTCTCTCTTTCGAATATGCGAATTGTTGGTCTACTCTTTGTTTCTCCAATTCTCTCTCTTCGTATCTATCTATCTATCCGTCTATCTATGTCTCTCTCACTCTCACTATTCGCCTGTCCATCTATCTTTTTCTCTCTTTTACATCACATGCATATATATTTCATTCTCATTCTAACCCCTCTTCCCTTTTCTTCTCTCTACATCCCCCTTACCTCACCCTTCCTTCTCTCTCTCTCTCTCTCTCTCTCTCTCTCTCTCTCTCTCTCTCTCTCTCTCTCTCTCTCTCTCTCTCTCTCTCTCTCTCTTTCTCTCTCGTCCCTTCTTTCCCGTCTCTCCTCTCCTCTCCTCTTCCTTCTCTTCTTGCTTTCCTTTAACCCCTTTGTCACGAGCCCCGGTCACGGATATAATTAATTCCAGTGTATATGGAGCAAAGTATATGTATGTATGTATGTATATAGATGTTATGTATGGGAGTGTGTGAGAGAGAGAGAAAGAGAGAGAGAAGGAAAAGGTAGGGAAGGTTTAACGAAGAAGACAAGCCCATTGTCTATCAACTCTTTTACCTAACCTAAGTCCTTTGACTATAGTCCCTTTAGAAGGATCAGCGATCCTTCACGCGATATCATCCCCATTCGACATTGAGAACGTTCATTATCGTTTCGACCCCGTTTATGGTCTCTGCTTTTTGTTTGTTTGTTTGCTTGTTCGTTTGTTTGTTTGTTTCCTTTGTTGTTTATTTTTTTTTTTATTTTTGATTTGTTTTTATTTTTTAAAATGCGACGAAACGAGAGGCGAATAATCGGTATCAATGATCATTTATTTATTTATTTATTTATTTATTTATTTATTTATTTATTTATTTATTTATTTATTTATTTATTTATTGTTTCTTTTTTCCAATCATATTTAAAAAAAGGATTATAATGAATGTTAGTGATAATAATTTTCATTCGAATGAACGTCGTTAAAATATCTCTTTTTGTCGATTGAGGTTTATATACAAGAATATTTTCATCCGATGGAGAGTTTCTAGTGATGCTGGTTTTGATTATCCTTTGGATTTTTTTTTTTTTCTTTTTTCTTTCTTTCCCTTTTTTTTCTTTCTTTTTTTACTTCATGCACAATAAGACCTCTAAAAGAATTGATTCTTATTTTTTGTTTGTTTTGTTTTGTTATGTTTTTAAGGCGAAAAAGAATTTTTATCATTTGTCCAGTTTTATTCTCTTTTTAAAGGTTACACGCAGTGTTTTATTATGCGAGATATATTTTAACAGAGAATTATTAATAAGTACGATGAACTTTATACGGAGTTTTAATTATATCCATTAACGTTAACGTTGTAATCGTTAATTCCGATTGTAATATAATTAAAATGAAAATTCTCGATCGTCATTATTTATTATAAATCGAACAAAGTGTGTATTATATCGTCGCGTTATACATAGGAATTACTTAAGCCTGTAGAGATGGTATGAAGTGTCTGAAGAAAAAAATTAAAAAAAGAAGAGAAAGTAATTCGTTTAAAAAAGAGTAAACAATTGATTGATTTATTAAAATCGTTCAGAAATTTTTGCACTATCTTTATGTATTATCACGGATGGATTAAAAGAAAAAAAAAAATGTCATTCAAGAACTTTTGGTTTACTCTGTTTTATCAAGTGATACAAGCCATCGAGCACAGACCTCTCTCCACTCATACATACACACGCACGCACGCATATATATATATATATATATATATATATATATATATATATATACAGATAGATTAAGAAAAAAGTGTCATCCAAAAACTTTTGGTTTACCCTTTGTTATCGCGTGATACAAGTCGTACAAGCACACACAGATAGATTAGAGGGGAAAAAAAGAAAAGGAAGAAAAAGAGAAAGAAAAAAATATCACTTAAGTACTTTTGATTTATCCTGTGTAATCACGTCATACAAATGCGTGTACGTATATACGCACACATATACACTTATATTATACTTGTGCACAGATTAGGAGAAAAAAAAAGGATAACGTACGTCTTTATTATTATTTTCCGAATTTTTTTACTA